TCAGTGTTGTGCTTTACCCCGCTGCGCCACCAGGGAGGGCCAACATATTATTTTTTTAAGCCATCTTGAGGAGAAAGAGAAATAAAAGGAAGTCTTCTGTGGGGGCCTGACCGACACATGGGAGTTCACCAGGGAAGGAAGGGAGATGAAGCACTTACTTTTAGCAGAGAAGGGCTTGCACTGAGCACAGACGATTGACAGCACATGTGGACTGGGAGAGATCTCGGGTCCAGGCCTGTAAGACTGAAATAGGTAGGTCCAGGAGATTCTTGAGTTCCACAGTAAGAGGCCTTTACACTCTCATGCTTTATAAAGGGGAAACTGTAGAATTTCAAGCAAGAGAATGTCAGGGTCAGAGGTGTCATTTTAAAAACTCTCTATATGCCAACCAGTGAGATCTGTGTATGGGAAATATGAGCAAAGAGATCATTTGAGAGACTGCTGAGTAATCTAGTGAGAGGATGAAGGGTTGAACTAAACAAGTAGATGGAATTGAGACTTATTTAGAATAACAAATCAACATGACCAAGTTATTCACTATTCATTTTACAGTTGTGGGGGGTGAGAGAAGAGAAAAAACTTTTTCTTCTACAATTATTCTGGGTTCTCGGCTGGGTTTCTAACAAAAGGTAGTAAAGTTATAAATTCATGTTTTATATGATATGAGAAAACTTCATAAGGAAATGCAAATCCAAGGAAGTAGTTAAATTGATTTTTTTTTTATGCTCGAGAGGAAAATCATGGGAAAAGGTGATTACACAAAAGCATATGAGCTAAGGGAAATGAATTGGGAGAAACTTAGCAAGGCCTATTCAGTCCAGCACCTCACTGTGGTCTCTCTGCTTCACAGGTAAGGATGTTCCTTTCCATCTGGTGAAGGGAGGGTATTTCTTACATAGATTATATTTTCGTTTCTTGAGTAAGAGAGAACTAATTTGAACTTCTAAATTATACAAATGTAATGGTATATAATTTAACATTATGTTTTAGGAATAAGAAAAATGTAAATTTGTTCAAGGAAACATTACTTTGACAAACTTTTTTATTAATGGCAATTATGTTTCATAGTACATCGACTTAATTTCTGTGGTCTGTATGTGGTTTAAAACTTGATTTTAATAAAAAATGAGATAACTAATGGCAATTTTTGGATGCCTAGCAAAGTTCTAAGAATAGCTTAAAATTTACTTAGCACTATCATTTTACAGAGAGGTCTCTCTGCGCCAGATTAACCAAAGTGCTCGTTTTTTGCCACTTACAAAATGATGCGAAACAGTTGTAATTCATGGTCATAGAAAGTTGTGCTGTATGTAGAAGCTTTGTGTTCCCCTAGTAAAATACGTGAATGTGTCATTTCAATTACTAAACTTCTTTTAGGATGAGAAGAACTGTGCACTAATGCCAATCTCCGCGGCGAGTGTGAAGCTAATCCAGCCCGGGAAAGACAAGGAAACGTTGCAATGTGACAAAAACTAACTTTTCACCTGCTGATTTTAAAAGGATTCTTGCGCGTGCGTCCTTAGGTTTCCGGGAACATGCTCCCTCCGTCCGCCCTTCTCGCACGCACATTTCCTTCCGGTTAGTTTCCGGTTAGCTACCTTCTTCCAGGGCTACACGTCATCGTTCACGCTTCCCGGTTACTAAGGCAATGAAAGGGGCTTCCCACTGCGGTAGTCATATTAGACTAGGGCGAAAGCCCGAGTTGTGCTGGCTGCCGCTTGGCAACAGTTCTGCCATTTCCGGGGTTTTTGAGTAATAAACATTTAGAGGTGAACTTCGATAATCGTGAATCCCGATCAGCTGAGGTTTTGAAGAGTGAGTCACGACTTCCTTGCCCTGTTTCAAGATGGCGGTGCGGCTTCTCTGAGTATCGAGCTTCCTCTCATCTGCCGGAGAGACGCTCTTTGATTGGTCAGCGAACAGGGCCGTGGCTGACGCACAGCGGCGCCGACCAATCGGCGGAGAGCTGAGTTGGACTTGGCGGTGGGAACCGGAGCTGAGTCTTGCCGCGGTGGGTACGGAGGACTGCGACCAGGTAAGTTGGGTACACAGGTAGTAGGGCGCCGAGAGTACGTGTTGTAGGCGGCCCCTGTAGGGGCTCATGGTCTTGCCTCTGGTTGAGGGCTTTCCTCTATAGCCTGTGGGATCGAGGGCATGGGTGACCCAGGGATCCACTAAGACCGATGCGTACCCCACCAAGAGGGAAATGGGAGCCTCACCGACCTACACTTATCCCAGAATCTTGGGGTGCAGAAGAACCCAACCTCCTTTTACAGTTGAGTGACTCGAGATGACGGAAATGACATCTGCTTCGTGATAAAGCTAGAACTAACCCTCGCTCACCGGGCTCTTGAGAATTAAACCTTGCTCTTGAGGTTTTTGTGGCTTGTATGTTCTGAAAAGTTACGGCTTGGTGGAATGAGTGGTTCAGATTTTTTTTCTAGCTGATGGACCTGAAGACTCTTTTAAGTTCATTCAGTCCGGAACTTCATTCATTCATTCATTCAAGTATTGTCTTCTTTAGATACTTTTCCCCTTTGATAATTTGATGTAAATTAACCATCTGTCTAGAAAATTGCACAATCGCCTATGCACGCAATTTTACATACACTTTCAGAGGAGTCATGGACTCTGACATTCCCCTTAGTTTTTGTGCCCGAGTTAAGAAACCGTGCTCTTGAAGTGATGAGGGGAGGAATCTGAGGGAAATGGATAACAGATTTTAATATATAAATACTTGGGTACTAAGGATGGGATCACAACTTTTTAATCATGAAGTTTTTTAAGTGGGGAAACAGTCATGAATGGAGTATGTTGACTAATTGCACAGTTAGAGATTTGTGATATTACAACTTATTTTTATTACTATTTAGTTATGCCTTTGCCACCCAGGAAGCTGCATAAGTACCTTCTGTGTTAACAGTGCTTCAGGTTCCTTCTGAAACTACTTACCAGAAATAACAAATTGAGATCTTTGAATTTTAGTTGGAGCAAACATTGGAATTTTTGTGGTCTGGTTTGTGTGTGTTAGGGTAATTTATTCATTTGCTTTTCTAGCCACATAATATTATTCCCACAGTCCAAACTAGTACGGATCATGGGCACTTACAGTATGGCACTTCTCATAATAACATGGAAATAACTATTTCTCACTATACAGAGTGAGCCCTCGAAGCCATTAATATTATAGATTCCTTAATTTGTCTTTCCCCAGTTTTTTTTAGCCCAAGTGGCAGAAGTGTGTGTTAACCTAACTTTTAGGATGTAAACAGGATATATAAGATACCCATTGGATTTTTCAAGATGGCATTAAAAACAAAACGGGAAATCCTTGTCCCTTCTAATATTGAAATCAGAGCTAAAACAAAGACAAAGCTGGGTAGAAAGGTATCCACAACCACACCAAAAAGAAGATCTTTACATCACCTGACAGGCTCGTGACACTGGTTCTGAATGCATCCCCAGGAGAAACAAGCTTGATCACTGTACCACCATCAAATTCTCCCTGACCACTGAGTCGACCATGAAGAAGATGAGAGATAGTATACTTGTGTTCACTGTGGATGTCAAGGCAAACAAGCTCTGATCTAACAGACTATGAAGAAGCTCCAGACACTGATGGCTAAAGTCAACACCCATATCAGATGTGGTAGAGAGAAGGCTTATGGTTCAGCTGCTTCCCAATTACAGTGCTTTGGATGATGCCAACAAAATTGAGTTGAAATAGTTAACTAAATACAAGTATTTTCACTATAAAATAAAAGGCATAGATAGCACCTAATGGATTTAGCATTTTCTAGCTTTGTAAAACGTAGTCTGAATGACTGTTTTACTAACTGGAATCTTTCAAGACATGAACATAAGCACCATAGTGAGGAGAGGGGTCTTGGTAAAACTTAGTGTGATTACAAGCTTTCCTTAATAATTTCAGTGATCTCAAGTAGAAATAGTTTGGCTGAGTGTGGTAGCCAAAGTGGTGACTGTTCCCATTATGAATTGGTGTCTCATCTGTATCCAGTTCTTTTCTCCACAGTTAATAAAAGGAGCAGAGAAAGGGTATAAATACAAAGTTTCACTTTGTGGGTCTGCTAACTCTAAGTAGCCTATTTGGCCACCATTTTTGTTACCTATAGTTCTGCATTCCTGTACAAGGTCAGAACTGCCCAGTCAATCAGTTATAAGAGCTCAACTCTGCAAGGAGCCTTTCAGATCAGTCAAGAGCAGAAAGTTTGGTCACCCTGAGAACGGTAATATGTATCAAGAGGTATGACATATGATCAAGAATGCCTAGGGTTGGGAGCTATTGATGTGTGACAAGGGACTCCAGAAGCTGATCAGAGGAAGCCTTGATAAGATTGGACCTAGGGCTTAATTTCAGTCTCAATACTGAGTCACCAAGCAAATGAGAAGTCTGGGGGGCAGACTCATGACCCTGATGCTATAGATGATGGAACGCATTTTCTGGTTTCACCCCTTTCTTTTATCTTTGTCCTTCCCCTCACAACGGATGTTGTCTGATTATTCTAAGAATAAAAAGGCCAGGATCTGGCTCTTTCAGCACCAACCTGCATTGTACAGTTTGCTTCACAGCTCCTGTTTGTCAGTGGGGTGTCATCAATGCAGCATTACTGGGATGTAAAATTTAGTACAGTCTTTAACAGAGCAGAGATGGAAAGTGATTAGGTAGAAAGATAGCCAGATATAAAACAGAATTTGAGACTTACTTTGATGTGTTATGGTAATGAGGTTAAAAATGAATATTACTCAACTACTTGTGGTTTAGAGGTGACCAAATGATTGTAAACCTCCCATTCCTTTTATTGATTTATTTCTAAGTACGGAAGTGAAGAGTGAGAAAGAGATACGTTATCGAAGGAATCTGTGTAGTTAATTGTTTTGGGGGCTCAAAGATAAAGGAAATATTGATGTCCTGTAGCAACAGATTCTTCCAAATTAAATATCTAAGAAACACTGCATTATATGACCATCTGGTTGAAATTTAGCTGAGTATTTCACATACAGTTAATGCCTTGTCTTCAGTTCCTTTTTAGACAATGGCAACATATCTGGAGTTCATTCAGCAGAATGAAGAACGGGATGGTGTGCGGTTTAGTTGGAATGTGTGGCCTTCCAGCCGACTGGAAGCTACGAGAATGGTGGTTCCCCTGGCTTGTCTCCTCACTCCTTTAAAGGAACGTCCAGATCTGCCTCCTGTACAGTATGAGCCTGTGCTTTGCAGCAGGCCAACCTGCAAAGCCATCCTCAATCCACTTTGGTATGAATTCTTATAAAACTTTGTAAAAAAGATGAGTACAGAAAATTATGGCTTTTTTTGTGGTTTTTATGAAAATAATTCATTTTGGCCAAGTTGTCACAGTTGACATGAGTAGGAGGTAGTGGGATTCTTAGATGATAAGTACTTGAAGCAGTCACCTTTGCCTGATATTCTAGATTAAATGAAAAGTTATGGGAATGAGATAGTGGGGAAAGGCTTCACTAGAGACAGAGTAGGGAGCAGAACAGGCAGATCAACGAAGCATACTGCTGAAGGGAGCAGTGGGTGGGTCAGGAGACGTCTGCCACGCCATGTGGTCACCTCTGGGGCAGGCGGGAATTGAACTCATGCAGAAGTGGCTTTTAGCTTCTTACTGTGGTGCTTTAACCCTCTGCGCCAGGGAGGGCCCTAAACAGTCAGGTTTTAAGGCATTCTCCCCTTTGTCACCTAAACCCACCTGCCCTGCCAAATCCTAATGCTTTAGACAGTTTTCTCCTTCATATCTGGTAGTGTGATACTTTGTGACAGGAAGTAATTGGCAGAGTTTTAAAATTTTTTTTAAGATTTATTTTATTTATTTATGCATACAAGAACTGGGGTACAGGCTAGAGGTGCAGGGGGGTGAGAGGATTCACCAGATACAGAGTGGGGAGCAGAACAGGTAGATTGAAGGGAGCAGTGGTGATTCAGGAGAGGTCTGCCGTGCCATGTGGGTCAGTTCCCTGGCCAGGAATTAAACTCCACTGCTATGACTATGGATAGCTTTGTAGTGATGAGACTTAATCCCTTGTGCCACCAGGGAGGCCCCAAGAATTTTAACTCTTAATGACTTTGTTAAATGTAATTTTTCTGGTCCTGAGTGAGCTATGATAGCCTCTTAGGTAGTATACTGTTTGAAAGAATTTTTGAATGGTGAAGAGGGTCATAAATATTCTTTAAAAGACAATTTTTTTTATGAGGGAACTTTTTTTATTTCCCTTGTTTTTACTTCATGTACCTATCTTTTAAAATGTCAGCTATTCATTGTTGATTTTCTAAATATAGAAAGTGGGGGAAAGCAGTTGGAGGATTGTATTGAAACACTCTAGGAAGTATATCAAGCCAGATGCATGCCTTCTTAACTTTCCTTCAAGTGGACTAAATGTGGTTGAAGTCTGAGAAGCTTTTCCTGTGTGTGAAAAGCCATTTTAGTATTGAAATTTAGTAGTTTCACATGTCTGAACAATAAGGGTGTTAGAAAAATCATGAAAACTATGTTAAGTAGCAGAGCAGAAGGTAATAACCTATAATTTATAGAAACAATGAAAAATTTGAATATTATGTTAGGGAGTTGGAAGAGGAAAAAAGGGTTGACTTCATTGCCATTGTTTGTAGGAAATTTTTGGTATACTTAATAGAACTCAACCTGTAGTGAATATTTTGTCTACAGTTACCCATTTATGCATCAGCACAGAAATACACATCTATGGGATACACCGAACTTTAAGGTTAAATTGAGTGCTTTCTACCTTAAAAGTGAAAATGATACCAGGTTGTAATACTTGTTTTTCCTCACAGTCAGGTTGATTATCGAGCAAAACTTTGGGCATGTAATTTCTGTTTTCAAAGAAATCAGGTATGTGAATTTTTTCTTATATGTACTTTTTATGTTTCATTTTAGTTTATTCTAAAAAAAGTTAAGTGAGGTTGAATTTGTATCTGTCCTGGCAAGTCAGCAGTTCTTGCTGAACTCACGATATTTTTTGATAAATGTGACATTGGACATTGGGTGTGTATTATCTGTTGAATAGTATCTCATTTTTATTACTCAGTCCTTGTCATTTTCTGAGGAAGTCACACAGAATTTCCTCTTTAAAAATAAGTTCTTTTTAGGTAGTGAATATATTGTCCTAGGAAAACAGGTATGATTTTTATATTTCTTTTAATATTTCTAACTAGATAGCGCATGTTATTGAATTTCATTTTCTAGTCTTTTCGTTTTCTAGGCTCCAAGCATCAAAGATTGAGCTTCTTTTGATTTAAAAGTTTTTGAATAAGCAAGCTAAAAGGAGTTCACAAATGACAAGAAACTTTAAAATGAACTTACTATACCAGTGATAGGAATCTTCTAAAATTAGTTTGTGATGAATGTAGCACACCTCCTTACATGTACTAAAAATCACTGCATTGTGCATTTAAAATAGGTGGACTTCGTGGCATATAAAGTACACCTCACTAAAGCCTCTAGAAAAAAATTGTGACCAATATAATGTACAGTGTTCTGTTCTAGCAGATCTTTAGAAATTAATGTATACATTTATTCATGTATTTGGCCATAATTACAATTAATAATTCCATTTTAAGTTACAGAGCACATTAGTTAAGTGATGAAGAGAAAGTATAGGCAGATTTTTAGGTTTATCTCCATGAGAAATTCAGAAGTATATGTAATCTTAAAACATTTTCTGTACCCTGTTGCATTCAGAATTGATGTATATTTTTAATATAATTTGTCCTGAAAATTCTAATACATCATAAGACTTTGTCAATGGACTAAAAAGACAGCCCACGGACTGGACAAAGATACTTGCAAATTGTATACTGAATAAGTGATTAATATTCAGAATATACAAAGTACTCCTAACAGCAACAAAGAAAACTACAACTCAGCTTAAAAATGGGCAAGGGGATTGAATAGATATTTCTCCCAAGATCTTCAGGTGCCCAATGAGCCCATGAAAATGCTCAGCATCAATAATTAATGCTGTTTACCAAGTGGCCCAGCAGTTCCACTTCTGGATAGATGCTCAAAGAAATTCACACTAATAAGTGATGCTATTTTGCTGCAAACCAAAATATACTGAATAGTGCTTCCTAATATTGTTAGCTTGAAGAAGTTTATTAGTGTGAGGCTGAAAAAGATAGGGCCCAAGGAAGACAAGCTGCCTGTGTTCAATCCCAGTTCAACTATTTCCTGGCCATGCAACTTTGTACTATATTATTCTGAGCTGCATCATTTTATATAATCAATAGATGGTGATAAAATCTGGAATAAATAACCATATGTGTTACTTTAAAATGAGTCTTACTCAGGTTTATCTTACTAACTTATGGAACCTGATGGTGGGTCTGATATAAGTGTTGTACCACAGAGAAAATATTGAAAGCTGTAAGATCTTGAAAGATGTCTTGTGTTTGTAGCAGCATGTTTCACAAAAGTTAAAATGTGCAAGTGACCCAAATAAGCTAGTCACAAAGACAAATCTGATATATTTCTATTTTTAGAGGTACTAGTCAGATTCAGTCAGAAATTGGAATGTGTTTTCCAGGGCCTGGAAGAAAATGGGGAGTTTTTCATAAGTTCATGTTCTAGTTTTGCAAGAATAAAAGAATTGTGTAGATACATTGTCAGACAGTTGCGCAGCATTTTGGGTGTATTTATACTGTAAAAAAGATTAGGATGGTAAAGTTTATATGTGTTTTATCACAATAAGAAAATTGGAGAAACAAGTCAACAAGCTGTGAATTTAAAGTGCTTGCAGAGAGTGAAAAAGAAAAGTGCCATTGTTAAGCACAAAAAGCAGGTTACAAAACTACATATTTTAGCTCCACTTAAGTGGAAGAAGTCTGGAAGAAAACATACTAAGATGTTGACAATAACTACCTCTAAGTGAGATTGTGAGGGTTTTCTCTTCCTGTTTTCTTATATTTTCCAGTATTTGCCAATTTTTAAAAATAATATAATAATATAATTTTACATCATTTTGTGCCTTTTCCCATCTCAGTTGTATTTGCCAATTTTTCCTAAAAATCTTAGCTTTGGTTTTCCAGGACAACATTAAGAAAGAGTTTTAAATAGTGTGTTTTTAAAATAACTTCAAAATTACAGTGTAACCTGAAATTACATTTGAAAAAGTTGTAACATGATATAAATATAAGGCAAGGTTAAAAATTTTAAATTCTGATTTTTGTATTTAATTGCATTGTTCTTTGTGTTCTCGTCAGTTCCCTCCAGCTTATGCAGGCATATCTGAGGTGAATCAGCCTGCTGAATTGATGCCCCAGTTTTCTACAATTGAGTACATGATACAGGTGATTTGTTTGTTATACATTTTATAAGCACTGTTAAGTTTTGCGTTTCTCTTAAAATATTTTTGTTTTCTGTGTCTCTAACATTTCTAGGCAATTTAAAGATGTGACTGCAGCAGTATCCTATTTATTAGTTTATGATAGCATTTACTTACGGCACTTTTTCAGGGCTTGAGAGAAAGCTACAAAAATGTTAGCCCTAATTCATTTCAAAATCTGTCCTCCACAATTTCTCCATCTTATTTGAAGTAGTCTATCTCCTAGATATTCAACTTCAAACTTCAGGCTCCTCCTTGACTTCTTTCTGTCTCTCAAGTCCTGTATCTAATCCACTAGGAAATCCCATTTGGTCTATATTCAGATTTTATCTAGAAACCAACTACATCTTTCTTCCTATTGCTCTTATTTCAGGTCATCCCTACTTCTCACTGGAATTTATTGGGTAGTCTTTTAACTTTGCTCCCTCCCTTTTCCCTTACCCACTTATATTTTATTCTTAATGAAGCTGCCACTGTAACTTTTTAAAAACATATATTACTTCTTTGTTTTGAAACTTCCAATGGTGAAAATGACTCTAGAGCTCCTTGAACTTGCCCTGTGATACCACTTTGATCTCAGCCTTTATTAATGTCCTTATTCAGCCAAGTAGGGCTATTTGATTTTCTCAATTGGAAACACTCCTGCCCATGGGCCTTTGCTCCAGCTTTTCTCAGGCAGAAACTCTTTCCCCTATGTATGAGTTAACCTCTTCTTTTTTTCCTCCAGGTTTCTGCTCAAATGTTATTTTCTTAATGAGACTGCCCCTATCTTCCATTTAACACAAGTAGTGTTAAATACCTGCCCCCTATTTTCACTCTTGCTGTTTTCAATCTTCCTTACCTTTTCTTATCCAGAAAGCTAGCTCTCGAAGCAAGCAGGGATCCTTGTTCTTTAGGTTCCTTTATATATCTCAGGACTTGGAACAATGACTAATTTATGGAAGGGATTCAAACAATGTAGAAAGAGTTTTTGGAGACAAATAATTCTTACATTTAGTTTGTTGTAATGGACTTGCCATTTAATGAAAAGTAAATAGAGGTTTGTCTCTGTGGCCTTATTCCCTGGCATTAAATATCAATGAAGACTTGTTATTTACATACCTGATTTGCTTTTAAAAGAACTCCTTAATGCTTGTTGTGTGTTGATCACTGCACCTTTTTTCTTTGCTCAAAGCGAGGTGCTCAGTCCCCTCTGATCTTCCTTTATGTGGTTGACACATGCCTGGAAGAAGATGATCTTCAAGCACTCAAAGAATCCCTCCAAATGTCCCTGAGTCTCCTTCCTCCTGATGCTCTGGTGGGTTTGATCACATTTGGGAGGATGGTGCAAGTTCACGAACTCAGCTGTGAAGGAATCTCCAAAAGTTATGTCTTCCGAGGGACCAAGGATTTAACTGCAAAACAAATACAGGTTTGTACCCAAGCAGGAGTAGAAAATTTCTTTAAAAATTAGTCATTCATTTTTAGTATTATGGGAATGAGTTTTTTTTTTTTTTTTTTTTTTTAGGACATGTTGGGCCTGACCAAAACTGCCATTCCCATGCAGCAAGCAAGACCCGCTCAGTCACAGGAGCACCCTTTTGCTTCAAGCAGGTGAGCCACCAACAGTGTTGTGCAGGCAGTAGTGGGCATGCAGTAGGAGTCGGCAGAGAAAAATGTTAAGACTGTTATTTCCTCATTTTTAGATTTTAAAAAATAGTGTTAAGCCTAGTGGATATTCAGTGTTTGATAATATAGCTAACAAATTAGTATATATTTAAAATTTATAGCAGATTATATAAACACGCACCATAAGTGGCATTTTGCTTACAGTATTTTTCCTGTTAATGTTATATCATCACAAAGGCCTAAAGACCACTGGATGCAGTCATTCCCCTCCTTTTAGACACTCGTCCTTTTTACTTCATAAGTAAAGCTGGGAAAATGGAAATGGTTTCTGTTGCGCTATGACAAACCAACTTGAGATGAAGGCACTTAACTTCACTTAGCCTATTGAGTGTTTTCAGCCTCCATGGGTGGAGTTAATGACATATTGTCAAATGATTTATAAAATGCTGGGGATAATCTCACTCACTGGAATGACGCCAATGTGTCTCTGTTTATTATTTCCAAGGCTCAACAGAAACACAAACTGTGAATCTTTAGAATGATGAAGATTGTTCTCTTAAATGAACCTTTTATGAACTGAATTTATGTAAGGCGTGTCTTTAGTATTTCTTGGCTGCTTAAAATTTAATTGAACTGGTTTCTTTAAATTCACTTTTCTTACCATGCAGTATATAAAAATAACTATATACTAGGCTTTTAAATTATATTCTTGAATAGAATTGCTTTGAGTTGTTAGAAACAACTTGGAAAAACATTACAAGTGTATTCTGAATAACTTTGAAAGAGCAATAACTATATTTCTTCTCAGGCTGAAAGCCAGAGTTATTTATTAAACCAAGATTAATGAGTCTCTTTAAAAATCATGCAGATTTCTACAGCCTATTCATAAGATTGACATGAACCTCACTGATCTTCTTGGGGAGCTGCAGAGGGACCCATGGCCTGTAACTCAGGGGAAGAGACCTTTGCGATCCACCGGTGTTGCTTTGTCCATTGCTGTTGGCTTGTTGGAGGTACTTAGAATATGCCATGACTGCTGAAACCGCACAAGTTTGTTTTCAGAAGTTATGTGTGATGGCTCGTTTGAAATTTATGACCTAAGTAAACTGATTCCATTAACGTATCCAAAATTGCTGTTGTCGTTATTGTTAGGAACCCCTCATTGAAGGAACCCCTCGCTGTTTTCAAAACAAGCCAAAAATTTTCATGAGATACACAGGTCCATTAGAGTAGTAGAAATAGTTCTCATGAGATATACAAACCCTTTAGGGCAATGGAAGTTCTCAAGTAAATGGTGTACAGGTCATAAGAAATAAGGACGCTTCTCTGTAGTGTCAGTTTCATTATTCTGTACAGTCATCAATAGTCAGAAGAGTTAAAAGAGAACTCGTATTTGGAATGTTGCCTTAGGTAAAGGACAGTGGAAACATGCTTGGGGTGATGTCGTTTGCTCTAAAATGCTGCCTTTTGCTATTTTAGGGTACCTTCCCAAACACAGGAGCCAGGATTATGTTGTTTACTGGGGGTCCCCCTACCCAAGGGCCTGGCATGGTGGTTGGAGATGAATTAAAGGTTCCTATTCGTTCCTGGCATGATATTGAGAAAGACAATGCACGTTTCATGAAAAAGGCAACCAAGGTAGGTACTGCTGCATGTGAACTGTTGTAGTAACCCAGGCCTAGACTTTGGCCACTGTGGAGTGACAGCTACTTTGCTGAGACACTGTTTATGGTCAGCAAGATGTTCTTGCTTACATGTCCTTGCAGATTTTGACTGCTGTTAAATTGTTGCTCCAACTCTGAGACCTTAGAGTCGATGACTTTTTATGACTTTTTAAAAAAAGATTTATTTATGTATACAAGAACTGGGGTACAGGCCAGAGGTGCGGGAGGTAAGAAGATTCACCAGAGACAGAATAGGGAGCAGAACAGGCAGATCAACAGAAATACACTGCTGAGGGGAGCAATGGGCAAGACAGAAGCAGTCCTCTGTGCCACGTGGGTCAGCTCCCTTACTGGGGATCGAACTTGTGTTTTGGTGGCTGCAGATAGTTTCATAGCACTGTGTGCTCCAACTCATTGCACCACCAGGGAGGACCCGGGAGTAGATGGCTTGAAAATTGTCAAATTTGTTTTGCGATTAAAAACTAAATGGCTCTTTGTATGTTTTAAAGAAAAGGGTCTCTGTGGTCCTGTATTTGAATGCATGCGTTTGTTGTGTAAGGCATACTTAGTGACTAATGTTACTGGTTTATAAAGTAGTTTCTTTCTCTTCACAGCACTATGAGATGCTTGCTAATCGAGCGGCTACTAATGGTCACTGCATTGATATTTATGCTTGCGCCTTGGATCAAACTGGACTTTTGGAGATGAAGTGTTGTACAAATCTGACTGGGTATGTTGATAGCCCATATCTGAGAAAAGTGAGAGTTCATTATAAGGAAAGAGAAATGAGTATGACAGAACCACCAGAATAGGCAAGGCCTGCTTAGATAAACTTTCAGATAGCTCTGGACTGGGGACAGTGTGTGTTGTCTTAAAGGAAAAGCAGTGATTAGCAAGCAGGTCCCAAGGGCTCCCTTGGGTCAGTCACAGCAGAGTAATTTCATTTCTTCCTTAACGTTGTTACAGTCCCCAGGTAGGAAAACAAATTGTCATGGAGTAGGTTGTCTTCAGCAAGGCACTTCCCTGTGTATGGGGGCAAGTGGGGTCCCCTAACACAACTAGAGTAGCCCAGTTAGGAGACCTTCACTTACCTCATGACTGACATTAGCACATTTCAGCCCACCTTGCAGGGTGGGCTAAGTCCTTATCTGTGCGCAGGTTGCAGTGAAGGGCCGTGCCTCTCACAGTGCTTGGTGTCTGACCGGGACCTCCAGGGCTCTTGGGCACTGATTAGATGGACATCTTTGGGTCTCAACCCAGACCCCCGTCAGAAACTTTGGGGCTGTTGTAGCACAGCAGTCAACTTAAACAAGTGCCATGGGGCATTTGGTGCACATGAAAGAGTGAAAACTGCTGATGGCAGCACTACTGTGAATCCCCCTGGGAACTTAAAAATGCCTTTGCTTGTCCCTGTGGCCCCCAGAGACTCTGATTTAATCAGTGTAGGATGTCGGGCAGCAGCTGCATTTTTAAACTCCCCAAGCAGAGTTTTGTTGTGTTTTTTTGTTGAGGTAGCATTGGTTTACAACACTGTGTATGATTCACCGGTGCGGATTCACAGCTTTTCAGATGTATGTCCCCAAGGAGTTTTAAAGTGGAACAGAATTTGAAAACCGCTCATGTGGGTGCTTCGTGCCCAAAGTGAGCGCAGGCAGTGGCAGTCTCACTTGTCAGAAATACAGCATGTTAAGCCTTATCCTAGACCTACTGAACCAGTCTGCAGGCGAACGTGATGCTAAGTGATCTGCATGGGCAGACCAATTTGAGAAACACACATACGGCTTGGAGTGTGTCGAGGATATTACCTCTCTGACTGCTCCTGGGTGATGCAGCTAGTCCTCACTGCATCAAGGGGGGAAGGGTAGAAGATAGGACTGGCTTCCCCTGAAGCTGTCCTGGAGGGCTGCACTTGTCAGGTGACAGTCCTGAGTAGCACCGACATAGTTTTATCAGTGAGCCACATTTAATAAGATGAACACCTCCCCGTGTTCGCTTGCAGTGCTTGACTTGGAGCATCCACAGTGTTTGTGACTATCCCCGAGGCTAAGGATTTATTTAGTTTTGCATAGATCTGGGGTATGGGCTTAATGAGGTCTTTGACTCCTGAATGATTTAGTATTTAGGTCACATCACCTGACACAGTTACAGTATCAGGAGAAGTCTTAGCTGTGACATTTAAAAGTAAAGAACAGATTGTAAGGTATTGATTGCTCAAGGTGAGCCAACAGTTTACCAGCAGCTGCAAAGACAAGGTCAGTTAGTAGGCTGGGTTAAAGGTATCAGTTATCTTCAGAGTTTACAGTCTTGGTTTCCTTGACTCTCGTCATACTGTATCCAGGTTATATCATCATTTTCATTTCCAGTTTACAAGAAGGTAGAGATGCACTGGAGACGTGCAAAAAGAAACAGTAATAGTATAAAAGCAATTGAAACCATGTCATGGGGAGCACGGTTGAAGGATTTGGAAAAGACTAAAGACAGATCAGGGTGTGAGAACTATAGTCAACACTTAAAGGTTTAACTCAAGGCAGAGGAATCAGATTTGTTCTATATGTGACCAAGAGCTAGAGCTAGAACGAGAGGTAGAAACTGGAAAGGAAGAGCTTCCTAAATATTTATTTTTGCATAGAAGGATTGGGGTGCTAGAGACAGAGGGGATGAGAGGGTTCACTGAGAAGAGTGGGGAGAGCAGTTGGATTCACTCCAATACACTGCTAAGGGGAGCAGCAGGAGAGACAGGAGAGGTCTGCTGCACCACATGCGGGTCAGCTCCTTGGCTGGGGATCGATCTCAGGCCTTAGGGGTGATAACCCTAAGGCTTTATCCCTAGGTCACCAGGGAGGCCCAGATCTTTCTAAACAGCACAGCATGGGATGGACCGCCTCGGAGGGAGTAAGCTCAATATGTTGGTTCCCCCACCATGTCTAGTCTGGATGATAACCTGGCAAGTGTTTTCTGCTGCACAAGGCGGAGTTGTGTCAGAATTAGGTGTATGTGGGTGTGACAGATTTGTTTCTCTCACTGAGTTGGGGAGCCAGGGCTGGTGTCTATTTCACTGTCATCAGAGGCTGTGTTGTTGCACTGCATTAATGTGCTAGCCGTACTTCAGGAGAGTTCCAGATATTGGACATACTATAGCAGAAGGAAAGAAAAGAAAGGAGGAAGGACATCCCCTTCTTACAAGAATGACCCCCCACAAGTCAAAGGCCACTTCCAAAAGTCACTGCAGAGTCACATGACCACATGCAAGGCACACTGGGGAAGAGTCTTTATTGTAGGAAACCATGGGTCCCTTCACTATGATGAAACTGGATGCATTCAGAGTGGTATGGGCAGAGACATCCCATCACTAAGGAAGAGGAGGGTGGATCTTCAGTACCAAGTTAGCCTGTCTGTCATTGGAGGAATCAGACACTGAGGTTTATTGCATCCAAGAACTGGGGCACAGGACAGAGGTGCAGGGAGGTGAGAGGATTCACTAGACACAGAGTGGGGAGCAGAAGAGGCAGATTGATTGAAGTACACTGCTGAGGGGCGCAGTAGGCGAGCCAGGAGAGGTCTGCCACGCCATGTGGGTCACCTTCCTGGCTGGGTTCGAACTTCTAGTCCAGTGGCTACTGCTAGCCTCATAGTGCTGTGCTTTAACCCATTGCGTCAGCAGGGAGGTCGACTCTCCCTAATCCTAGGGTACTGTTTTATAACTGATGATGAGGAGGCACCTAACTGCATGAAGCTCTGCTAACCTGCCCCAGGTACATAGACTGTTGACATTTGAACAGTATTTTATTTAACTTCCCAAAGGGAGGAATATAGATATTCACGCACTAGAAGAAATAATTCATGAAAAGCCAAGGATTCAATGTTTTAAGTCAGTGAAAAGGATTTTTCACAGGCTTGGGTATTTTCCCATACTAAAATAGTGTGAGAGAAATTGGAGATGTTTTCTCAGTAGATCACTGATTGAAGAACTTTTTTTTTCTTAATCTTTTTTTCCCTCAAGTTTTGACTTTGAAATAATTACAAATCATAACAAATTGCAAAAATAATAGAAGGCTGTCCAAATGCTTTATCTAGCAATTCCCATTGGTAGCAGCTTAATATAAATGCCTTATAATAAAATGAGGAAATTGACATTGGCACAAAACAATCTTATATATGAGTTGGATTTCACCATGCACTTATTTTGGCAATAAGGGTATAATGTATAGTTCTGTGAGATCTTATCTTTTTATCATCAGCTGTTTTAAAAATGTCTTTGCCAGTGTAAGTTGAACTTGCTGTTTTCTATTTAAATTGGTTATTAGTACCTTTATGATATAGTTTCTTTTTTTCTTCTTTATTATTTGTATATATCAAGAAAGCATTTGAATCACCTTCAGTCATCCTAAAGTTTCACTTTTTTCCCCCCTTTCTTAGTGGTCACATGGTGATGGGAGATTCTTTCAACACTTCTCTCTTCAAGCAGACATTCCAAAGAATTTTTAGTAAAGATTTTAATGGAGATTTCCGAATGGCTTTTGGTGCTACCTTGGAAGTAAAGGTACAAAAGGTTTCTAAAACTGTAATGGAGGATGGTCTTTCCTACTTATTAAAGAGACTTGTGGAAGCCTCAGCCTACCAGAGACAGATGTCGAGGATAGATTTGAAGTTCCTAACAAAGCATATTCCTTCTACCCCTTTGCCTCTAGGGGAGGACTTGTACTGTTAATTCTCTGAACGCAGAGTTGTCTGCTCTCTGACGGTTGCCTTGAGACAGAGGAGTTAGAGGGGGTGGTGGTCTGAGCACAGAGCCAGCACAAGTGTTGGTCCAGCCAGCTGCTGGCATGTGCCACCGCATGCCCAGAACCTTGTTCTGTACTTAGTGCCTGCCTGTAGACTAGCCAGAGTGTTCTGAAGGAGGGCAGCATCGTGAGTGGGTTTTGTTTTATCACGTAGGGCCTGGGGGCCCTAGACACTAGGTTCTAAGCCCTTGTGAAAACTTTATTAAAGGTGTTGTTTAGAAAAGGTGATGGGAATGACCGCTTTGTGAATTGGAGATAATCCTTAATCATACTGGTTAAACTTTGTAAATAACATTCTGAAAAGTGTAGGTTTTGTTTTTTTTAAGATGAGGATAAATGGACGAGCTGAAGTCAGAATTAACAATCTTAAATTTGTTAGCCTTGTTGAGCTCTATGTTGGAATTTATGAATCAAGCATTTTTAAAGCAACAGCATGTTCACAGATTAGAAGATTTTAAAGAACACTGTATTCACTGATTAGAAATTAGAAATAATTATGGTTATACACATGGGATTGAAAAAGTATAATGTTGGTAGAATTATTATTTTCTATGTGTGCAATTAGTTCAAGGTTGAGAAAGTTGAAAATGCTCCATCTTTGGAACAAAGATAATGTTTTTTTAATGGAGGATTTTACTAAAGGTTACTCATTTCACAGTGGTTCTGGAAAAAGTTTCTAAGAGCACTTGTATGCCATAGTCAGCATGGGGTTTTTCTTTTGGCAAAATGATAACTCATATTTTTTCCTTTAGCTTTACTTGTGGAGTTTTTGTGAGCAGGATGTTTTTCTGGTTTTTAATTTTGTATGCTGCTGTATAACCAGAACCTTGGTCTTACCATCCTCATTAATTCTTTTTAGACCTCCAGGGAACTGAAGATTGCAGGAGCCATTGGACCTTGTGTATCTCTGAATGTTAAAGGACCTTGTGTATCAGAAAATGTAAGGAAACGCCTCCATCATCCTTAACTCCTTCATCCCAGGCATGAACATGTTAGAAGTTTTAGAGTTGGACACATGCTTTTGTATTGTCACCCATTAGGATGTTTCTGGTGAGGGGAGAAAAGCTGTAACTCTTATGGATGCCCACATCTCTGAGGGATAGTGTCATTTCTGTCTGCTATCTAAATAGAGAGGATGAATATCTTGCTCAGCAGCAGAACTGATGTGGCAGATGGAGGAGCTAGAGACCAGGTCCCCCTGCACCTACTGTTCTTCCTTGGGTCCCTCTGCCAGTGAGTTCTGGGCATTCAGTTCAGCACAAGACAGACATTCTATACAACTGTTTTTATTTTCTTCCCAAAAAGACCTGTTATATACCTTGCACAAATGCATACAGTAAATGGAAAAACAGTTTGGGGAAAATTTTTATAATCTAAACATTTGCCACATAAAATACTTTTTTTAAAAAAAGATTTATTTATTTTAAAGATTTATTTATTTGTGCATAAAGAACTGAGGTATAGGCTAGAGGTATGGGGGGTGAGAGGACTCACCAGAGACAGAGTGGGGAGCAGAATAGGCAGGTTGACTGAAATACACTAATGAGGGGAATAGTGTGTCATGCAGGAGAGGTCTGCTGTGCCATGTGGGTTATCTTTCTGGCCAGGGATTGAACTCATGTTGCAGTGGCTGCCAGTAGCTTCATAGCCTTTTCCCTTTGCCCCACCAGGGAGACCTCTATTTATTTTAAATTTATTTATTTATGCATACGAGAACTCTGATACAGGCCATAGGTGTGGGGGGGTGAGAGGATTCACCAGAGACAGAGTGGGGAGCAGATCAGGCAGGTCTACTGAAGTACTCTTCTGGGGTAACAGTGGGCAAGACAGGAGAGGTCTTCTGTGCCATTTGGGTAGCTCCCTTAACCGGGATTGAACTTGTGCTGCAATGGCTGTTGATAGCTTCACAGTACGGAGACTTAACCTAGCCCCTGAGCCACCAAGGAGGCAATGTAAAGTCTGCTTTCTATCAGTTAATCGAGTGACTCCCAGTGATAAAATACCTAGACTCCCCAAGGTCACAGAGCACATATTGAGTCAAGTAAGGATAATCAGTGGATTCTAAAACCATTAGGTGAAAGGCGTACTGGCACATGACATTCACACGATGCTGCAATCTCACTCAACAGATTTCTTCTTGATAATAGTAAAAGGGAAATGTGCCAATATAATGGAATGAGATGGGTTGTCGTCAGCTTCACCTCACAATCTAACTTAGCACCAGTAACACAGGATGGCTGCGCAGCAGTATTTTCAAGTTCACCTTCTTATATAAGCACCTATTAACTTTCATTATATCACCAAAATATAGTTATACACACACACATACATACAGAGTATATAATTCTGAAGTCAGTGGAAAGACTGAAATCAGTGTTAGGGAAGAAGTAAAGAGTAGAAAAGAAAAAGAATTATCTGCCAAACTTGAAAACTTTATGCACCTCTTTTATCTTCATTGTTAGAACAAAAATGTTAGAGTGTTAGCCATTAAATATTAACTTTAAACTCATTTCCTTTAAGCAAAAATTAAATATAAACTCTTGGTAACAGAACTAAGATTTTACTGGTATGGAGGCTGCTTTTTAAGATTTATTTTATTTTATGCATACGAGAGCTGGGGTGTAGGCCAGAGGGATGGCAGGGGATAGTGAGAAGATTCACCAAAGACAAAGTGGGGAGCAGAACAGACAGATTGACTGATATACACTTAATTTCAGCTAAATTTGATTGTGATTAGTAGCTTACTCTCTGAGTCAGTATTTTGCATTAGAAGGTAACAGCAAGAGTAGCTTTTTGTTTGGTTTCTTTAAATTCTACTTCTCATCCATAGGAGCTTGGTATTGGTGGCACGAGTCAGTGGAAAATCTGTGGCTTGGATCCCACGTCTACACTTGGCATCTACTTTGAAGTAGTTAATCAGGTGAGTTGGATTTCTTCATAAATACTCATGTCATGGTGTTGTATTTTTTGAATCTTAGAGTCGCTGGTCTGTTTTTTACCTCCACAAGTGATGCTACATGGGCTTGTGTATGACCCAACACCAGACCCGTGTGTTCTCTTTTATTCTTTCTGGAATTTGGTCAGAGTCAGATAGCACATCTTTGTCGTGTTATTACTCAACTAATGAGGTCACTGGAAGGCTAGTACCTTTACCAGCCATCAAAATAGTGCTGGCATTTTGAGTGTGTCAGTTCTTTCTCCAATATTTCACTTAAAAAATTTTCAAATATACAGATTGAGTAAAAGAAGTATATAGCAAAAAGCTTAGAGTCTATAACAAATAACTTTATTTGCTTTGTCTTATATGCTTGTTAGTTCATCTTACTTTTGATGCATCAAAGCAAATTTCAGTCATCAGTGACTCATCCCTAAACACTTAACATGCATATGAACTTGAACTCAGTGTGTATTTAATATAGGTTTTTTTTGTTTGTTTTAATGAGGCAAAATATTACATAGTCAAATGCCCAGGTCTAAATTTGCTATTCCAAATGCTTTACCTTACCTTCATGACTGTGTGAATCATGTTAGGAACACCTGTGAGCTCTGTGACTGCACTTGAGTCATGCTTGTAAGACTAAAAAGATGTATGGCCTCTCCCTACAGCACAACACCCCAGTCCCCCAAGGAGGCAGAGGCGCCATCCAGTTCGTCACTCAGTATCAGCACTCCAGCACGCAGAGACGCATCCGCGTGACCACCATTGCCCGAAAGTGAGCAAGTGGTTTTCTGTCTGTGGAGCCACTGGCATTTTCTCCTGTGAAGAGATTATTTAACATCTTTTAGTTTATCCCTGTAATTCCACCTAATGGTTCTCATGACCAGATGAGGCAGAAGTAAAGGCAGTTTGGTTAACTGAGGTAGACCTATGGATACTTGCCTGGTAGAATCATTTTTTTTTTTAAAAGATTTATTTATTTGTACATACAGAACTGGGGTACAGGCCAGAGGCTCAGGGTCGGTGAGAGGATTCACCAGAGACAGAGTGGGGAGCAGAACAGGCAGATGGACTGTTCTGCCTGAGGGGAGCAGCAGGCGGGTCAGGAGAGGTCTGCCGCGCCATGTGGTCACCTCCGGGGCAGACAGGAATCGAACTCATGCGGAAGTGGCTTTAGCTTCTCAGTGTTGTGCTTTAACCCGCTGCACCACCAGGGAGGGCCTAGTAGAATCATTTTTAATAAGAAAAAAATAATTACTTCATCAGATAAGTAACCCACAAACATATCTTGTAAAAGATTCAAACATACATGTATAAGTATGGAAAGAATGGCTCTCTTTTTCTACTTACCCAGAAGTAAAATTATATTACCATTCTGGCATTTAACTTAATAATTCCAGTTCTGTTCAATTATGTATCCTGTGTATGTACTGTATACAAGTGCTACTTATATTTAGCACATTTATAAGCTTTTTAAACTTAATCTGTCAAGGGCATCTTTTATATCAATACATATTAACCTCTACCTCATTCATTTTAATGATTGCACAGTGCTATGTAGTTTGTGTGAGATCTACCACTCCTAGTAAAGAATATTTCAGGTCCTACCTTCCCTCTGACACTGTTGCAAATAGATTTTCAGGTCTTTGTGTACAAATATTTCTTTCTACTTCACAGAGTGAAATTTTGGATACTGCGGAACTACTCTGCTAAGAAACTAATTTGTATTTTCCCCAGTAGTGTAAGGAGAGCCCTGTCTACTCATTAATAGTGGATATTATCAACTACTATCAACTCATTAATAGTGGGTAGTATGGAGTAACAGAACAATATGTTTCCCCCCTCTTTTTTTGTGTGTTTTTCCATTTATCATTGGGTTAAGAAGCACTTTTCATATTTATTGATTATATATTGTATGATAGCCTTTACATTTTGTAAAATCCTGATTCTTGTTTATTTATTTGCAGGGACTCTTTATGTCTTATGTGTGTGATTATGTTGTTTGTCATTCTTACCGGTTCTTGGTCTATCTGTTGTCTTTTAGCTTGGTTATCAGGACTTTTCATCTGGAAAATTTGTGTATGTGCTCATTCTTTAGATCATGGATTGGATCCTCAGAGGTCATTTTGTGAACTTGTAAATATTTAGATTTCTGTCAGATTGATCTGGAAAAAGAAACACTTACTTGAACCTTAGTTACCTTTTGAGTTTCAGCTTTCTTAATAACTTGTGGAACATTAAGAAGTTCTCCTATATAATACTTTTTCTTTGAATTTATAGCTTGTAGATCCTTCATCACTTGAAGGTGAATAATCAAGTATATGAAACTCTCATATACTTATAATGCAGTCCAGGCTGTGTTGTCATAGATAAAGAAATGGGACTCAGGTTTCTTTATCTTAATGGAGAGCTGGCTTCTGGCACTAACTCTGGAATTGTCAGTTGGGCAGATGCACAGAGTCAGCTCAGGCACATAGAAGCAGCCTTTGACCAGGAGGCCGCAGCAGTCCTGATGGCACGGCTGGGAGTGTTCAGAGCGGAGTCGGAGGAGGGGCCCGATGTGCTCCGGTGGCTGGACCGACAACTCATCCGACTGGTAAGTCAGGGATAACTTCAGTCTTGGTGTCTATTTTTGAGAAAAGAAAGCTCTTCAAACCTGTAATTTTATGTTGTCAAATGCATCATTTGTTTACCTTAAGGCAAACTGTGAACATTCTGAGAGTTGTAGGGAGAAAGCACTAAATCTGTGTTTTCCCCTACAATCTTAAGTTCCAGGTTGGAAGGAATGACATGCATAGGGTATTTGGAGAATGTTGCATAATGTAAAGGTTGAAATAGATGACTTTGAGTTCTGTAGTCCTTTATTTTCCCTTCAGATCTCAAATGTGTGTTTTTGGAATAAGAATGCATGGATAAGTCAATGTAGAGAGGTACCTACTGTGTCATTCTGTATCTAATCAGGGGAGAGAAGACACATAATAATTTAGAATAGGGACAGTTTTATGTGAAGAATTGCTATCACAATGATTGTGATTGGCTTCTGAGCAGCAAAATGTCTAAAGAATATAGGAGTAGCAGATATAAGGGATAGCTGTGACATCCAAGCTAAGAGACAACACCCAGAGAAGAGCTTCCTATTGCCCCAGGGCTGGTCTAAGCCCTGACTCACAAGTCTCTCATAGCAAAGAAGTTGCTGTGTTACTGTGCTAGAGGAACTTGTTGGAATTATACCCTGTAGAACTCATGAACATCGAAACAGTGGAGTACGAGTGACACTGTTCAAAGGGAGGTGTACCAGAGCCACAAGGGGTGCAATTTAGGGCTCAGCATTGGACAGCCAGAGCACTGTAGCTGAGTAAGCACACTAAACCCAGAAGCAAATACTTGCCTCCAGCTCCGCTGTTGACACGCTCAAATCATGCCTTCTGGCAAAGGAAAATATCTAAAGGTCTGAAATCTGTTTCATAATAAGCAGAGAGGTAAATTTGGAGCTGTGAGGCAATAAATCATGAACTGCCATTGCTCATAATCTCAACTTGGAAATTCACAGCACATATTTATCATCAAAGTCACTAAAATGCATAGGATAGAAACCTATTCAATTTTGTTTGTAGTACATTTATTCTCTGCTATCTTATGGGTGCATTTTCTTTTACAGGGAATGTAAATATTTCAAAAAGAATTTAAAAATTGAGCAGGAAGTATACCTTGCACCACGTCTTTTTTCAGAGTAGGGTAATGGGAGAGGAGAAGTCTCCCCAGATCCAGTGATGCAAATTCTGCATCTTAACACCACTTCTGGTGACTTGTCTGCCCATCCATGCTTGAAAAGTGCTAGTCTAGAACTCATTGTCTGTAAGTGGCAATGCTTAGATTGGAACGTAGGTCTTCTGCTCTAAGAATCTTTCCAAGTGACACTCATGTACATTTTTGGGGACTATTTTCTGTCAACAGTGTCAGAAGTTTGGACAGTATAATAAAGAAGACCCCACTTCATTTAGATTATCAGATTCCTTCTCTCTGTATCCTCAGGTAAGTAATATCCACCTAAAATAACCTTGAAAAAATAAGTTGTGATAGAAATAATGCTGTTCTTGGGATAGAGGAAAGACTTGTTATAAGATTTAATCTGTAGGTGATGAAGCTTGTTAAGGCCAAGACAAACACTGTGTCAACTGTGTCAACATGAGGCAGTGCTGAAAGTCCTGTAGGAGACAGTGATGAGGTGCAGCCAGAAGAAACTAACTTGGTAAACTTGCATGAGAAGGAGAAAGAGGATCACTCTTCTAAGGCCACCACAACATCTCTACTTTGTAGAAGTTCTGAGTGGATAATTAGAACCATTGCAGCAAACCAAGAAAATGAAGCACATTGGAAGAGGAGACCGACCACAGAAGTTTAGTGATACATCTGTGGTTATTATGCTGCATCACAACTGGGCATCAGCAATAAGCAACTGCTGTAGCGAGCTCCCTGCTGGCCTAGGGGTTCAGTCTCAGCACTATCACTGTTATGGCCTGAGTTTGATTCTTGGCCAGGGAGCTTACCGACATGGCCCAGCAGACCTCTCCTGTTTTGACCACTGCTCCCCTTAACAGTATTTTTTAGTAGATCTGCCTGTTCTGTTCCCTACTCTGTCTCTGATGATTCCAGTCACCCCAGGCACCTCTGGCCTACACTCTAGTTCCTCTATGCAAAATAAATAAGGAACTGCTGTAAATAACTGCGTTATGTATGACCTGAGCGTTTAGGAGCCAGTGGACAAGGGAAAGGAGGGAGAGAAGTGGGTAGAGCATGAAGCTGCTGTCAGGGCTGTGGATATATCTTAACCAAACCTCCATTCTCATTTGTAAGTGGGAAATCTAGTGCTTTGCCGAGCATGCGACGGTGAATCTTACTCATACTGAGGCAGTCCTAGTGTGCAGCGAGGTACCCGGCTCCTGTTAGGTAATGAGGCCACACGACACCGAGGCTGGAACTTGCTGGTGCAGCGTTCCAAGAACTGGACACAAACTTGACTTTCTCCCCCTCTTCTGTACCAATACAACAATAATGACTCAGTAGAAAGAAGCAAACATTCATTTATATGAACTAATGAGGGCAAAGATAGATTAATGTTTTACATTGGGAAAAACACTGCGCATACCTTCAACAGTATCATTTCAAATACTCTTTGGGAAGTGGACATGATGTCCATCCTGAATGTGTGTACCTCAGATTCCTATGACTAAAAGGGATCTCAGAGGTCACTTCATTCAAACCCCAGTTCAGTGGGGCTTTATGACCCTTGGTGTGTGCCCTCCAGCCATACCTGAGCAGTAGAGGTCATGTGGTGTTGTGGGGGAAAGCCCGGGCCCTTCAGAAATCAGGGACAAGTGATGAGGTGCTAAACCCTGTAGATTTGACTTCCTCGTCAGAAGGAGGGATTTAGTCTGGAGAAATGGTTGGCAGTGTTTTTAAAGCTATGGAATCCTTTTTTTGAGGGGATCTTTTCAAAAGCTGTCACACAAAGCAGACAGACTTGGTGCTGCTCTGTACATCCCCACCACAGCAGCCTCCACCCCGTCCCCCTAAGGATTCACTAAGATTGAAAAGCACAGAATGAAACCATTGAAATGAAGTGGTTTCTGAGAAACCTTCTGTCAGAGCATCAAGGCTAAAAGTCAGGAGCCCAGATGTGGCTGGTATGTGGATCAGAGTCTGCACTTCCTTTCTGTTGCAGATGACTTTAGGCAAGTTGCAGTCCCCCTCGTTTTCCTCAGCTGTCAGTTGGGGTGGTAAGAGAACCTGTCAACTTATGGGTCTATTGACAGGACGAAGGCATTTTTATGAAGCGCTTTATGCTTTGGACATAGGATGTGTGGATTGTTAGCCATAATTATTATTTAAAAACCTATGATTTGGTATTTGGAGTCCTAGGGGATTTTATACTTAAAAGGCAGTTCATTTTCATGTCTGGCAGCTCCTCAGAGTGAGCTAACAGGCTGTCCTCCAGCTTCTGATCTTCAGGATAAAGAACATACCTCTCCAAACCAACTCTGCCCATTTCTCCCTTACACCTATCCCTCCACCATTCTGGCTGTGGCTCAGTCTCCACCCTCCCCCCTGTTGCTACTGTGCCCAGCATTCCTTCCCTGCTCTGGCCTCCTCATGCTAGTCTTTCAGGCCCATATGGCTTTGAGGAGTTTCCTGCTGCTCCTCCACCTTCACCTCTTTCCAGTAGGCTCTATACATGTGCCACCTGAGAGTGCCTTTCCCCCTCTGGGCTGTGTCTTCTTTAAAGCAGACATCTTTGAGAGCATTCCAGCTCCACACCCCACTGGGCCCAGTGACTAGAAATAAACAATTCTTTGCCTCTCCTCTTTCATTAATAATTTAAAATTTTCCTAATTGTGGTAAAAAGCATAACATGAAATTTACCACTTACAAGTATACAGTTCAGTTGTGGTAAATATTTTCCCATTGTTGTACAACAGAGCTCCACAACCTTTCATTTTGCAAAACTGAAACTCTGTACCCATTAAATAGCAAATCTTATTTCTCTGCCGCTGTCCTCCCCAAGTCCCTGGCACCACCATTTTACTCTCTGTGAACTGAGAAGCTTTTTTCTTAAAGTCTGGGTTCTACAGACTGGCATGTTCTCTCTCAGTGTCTAAATAAAAGGTTACAGCTCTATGCATTTGTCTTTTTTGCCTTTGGAAATACAGTTCATGTTCCATCTTAGAAGATCTCCATTTCTTCAAGTGTTCAACAACAGTCCCGATGAGTCATCATACTACAGACACCATTTTGCCCGACAGGATCTAACTCAGTCCCTCATCATGATACAGCCCATTCTCTACTCCTACTCCTTCCATGGACCCCCAGAGGTAAGGGTTTGCTGAATGCTCGCTTCAGAATTGGAATACCCTACAATATGTTGTTTTTTTTCCTAACAAATTTTCTGTTAAAGGAAAACTGTAGCAAAAGAAAATGTAAATCTTTAGTAATCATCTTACATTTTCCTCACCTATGTTAAAAAATAATGCAGAGGAAAATGTCACAGATATATAAAACTTTTATTTGTGAGAGGCAAGATTATGGGTTAAACAAACTTTAAAAAATGCTTATTTTTTTGGTGATGTGTTCATATTCTTTAGACCCAGTAATTCCATATTTTGTATCTATAGGACATACAGAAGAATCTATTCAAAGAAATAGTAAAGGAACTATTATAATAGAAAGTTTGAAGACGATCTAAATGTCCAATAGCAGGAAAATAAAAACTCAAAGTTTATGTGACATGATAAAATAAATAAATTCTTAGGTCAAAATGTTTTGTGAAAAAAATAACAAATGGAAACTTTAATTAGCTGTGTTTTTTTAAAACATGCAAGAATTAAAAACTATATGGAAATAAACCAAAATACCAATATTTGTTGACTTTTGTATAAATTTTAAGTTACTCTTATAATTGGAATAAAAATATTTACTACATATACTACATACTACATATTTTGTAGTGAACTTTATAATCTCTGCTAACTGTTCTTTTTTACATAGGCATCTTGGTCTCAGCGACAGAATAGATTTAAATGTGTCCCTGATAGTTAAAAGATTTCTGGCACAGAAGTGATAATATGTGAATATATCTCTGGTTCCCAGAACAAAAGAAATTGTTAATCTCCTTCCCCAATTGATGAAGGACTGCTTGGAACAACTTTCTCTTACGACATTAAGACTTAGCAATCCTGAGTCTGGGAACAGTGGAAGTGTGGCATGAAGCTGGGGAGCCCCCCACCATAGGTGCTGTTTGTATGGCTGTTCTGTGGTTGTCATGTGGGAGCATACAGGGGCCACAGTCAACTCTTGCTCCCTTTTTTTCAGCCAGTGCTCTTGGACAGCAGCAGCATTTTAGCTGACAGAATTTTGCTGATGGATACTTTCTTCCAGATTGTCATTTATCTTGGTGAGGTAAGATGATACTGATTTATTTCCTTACTTTGTTCTTACTTAGTTCTTCTGACATTCAAGACAAGATTTGGGTGTAAAGCACCTGACTTATAAAGAGTAAATTGGCTTTTATTCTAATGAAGAAAATCTTTTTTTAGATCCCTGAAGATTTGTATATTAAGAATTTTAATACTATTTGCTGTAAGTAAATCTCAGGTGGTGCTTTAAATCACGAGTAATATATTGCTTTCTGAGTTGTCAGGCAAAATCAGTTCACTTTTCTTGGCCAAACTCTTTATGCACACTACTGTGCCTTCACAGTTATGTTTGAATTACTAGTAAGCATTTATTCTTAATTTGGTACTAAAGCTTTGTTTGCTTGTTTGTTTTTGATGAAATAACATGGCACAGTGAACAAATTCATGGTTGTCAGGGGAGGTATCATTTCCTTCTCAAAGGTGGTTTCATTCCCTAAGAAAAGATGGTTCCCCTAAACAAAATACTTTGAGTGTTATAATCTTCAGTTTCTTCGATTGTATCTTCTTTTCCTTTCCAAAATTGCCTTGGTGATTGACTTGATTTCCTAGTATCTGCACATTTGAAGTGTGCCGGAGACCAGCTCCCATGAACTTGAAAGAACTGGAAATAAAGAACTGAAAAAATGGGGTTTAAGAGAAGGGGACACAAGGTCTCTCATTCCAAGCTCCAGCTGCCCTGGTGTCCAGTGCAGCTCCTTTTTGTTGATACAAGCTACCCTCCCTCCCTCCTGGTTAGTTGCTAGATGATGAATTATTCTCTTAGTATTTAGCCTAGTCTGGGCACACATTCACACCCAAACTTCTGCGTTATCAGGTATATTGTACTCCCTTCCTAATTTTGCCTGATTCTCAGGCTTAGCTTTGCTGACTCAAGAAAGGACATCGTGGTGTGGATATGGGTCAGTGTTCCAGCCCATGTTGACCAGTCTTTCAGTCAAGACCCCGACATTCTCTTTGTCTCAGCACTTCTGAAGGGTCTCCAATAGAAGTGATACAAATTGTGAAAAGATACAAATTCTGTTTCAGAATGCCTTTAATAATTTAAGGTGGTCTAGTGTTCTAGTAGTCATTTTATGACTTTAAACTATTTTTCAGCCTGTGAGCATGCACCAGGCCAGCCACTTACCCACAGATACTAGACCAACAATAATAGTCCTGGATCAGGGGCCATTGGGTGGCCAGCTGCTGTGCCATGGATTCCTGTGGGAGCAATAGTCATATCATAGTTTCCTTTGCTTTCACTTTACCCCTTGTCTCTGAGCTGACAACATCTGATCATATCTCTGATCACAGCCTCTGCTCCAGTTCATTCATGCATGTGATGAGCACCTTCTGCATACATGAGAGTACTCCAGTTTACTTGTAAAGATAGATTAACTGCTTAATAAATAGTTCTTGATTTCTTAGGTATAAAAGAAGGAGTAAGACCCCAAGTGTTTAGCTTGGTTGGGTATAATGTCTTCTACTTACTGCCTAATTCAGACTCACACTTTGATTCTTACAGCTTTTTGTCTCCCTCACTGAGTGTCCCAACTCAGAGTCTGGAGCAGCAGGGTGTAGGAATGGTGGAAGAGGGTATACACTTTATGCCATTAGGAAAAGAAAGGATGGTTTCTGTGTAGGCAACCTAGTCCCCTTCCACACTGGGTGTAAGGAAAGGGAAGGCTAGGTGAGTGATAGCAGTGGAGGACTTGGGATAACAAATTTCCAGGTGTTTCCACCAGGTTAGTTTGTAGTGTTAGGAAGGAAATATGAGGTAGGACTGATGAGTCTGACATTTCAGAGAGAACTGTATGGATTAAGGGGAGGTGGGGGTGGGATTGGGTCCTGAATACAGCTCCTTGCTCATTTGTACTTCTAATCAGATTTGCTTTGCTCCCCTCTGAAATTTGTCATTCGTGACCGAAAACATCTTTACTCCAAGCCAGTTCTGGGTGGCAGTGGTGATGTTAGAAAGTCAGAAGTGTCAGAAACAGCTGCTGTTGCCGTGTTTCCACAATAATGTGGTTTGTTTGTTTTGGTGTAGACCATAGCTCAGTGGCGTAAAGCTGGCTACCAGGATATGCCCGAGTATGAAAACTTCAAGCACCTCCTGCAGGCACCGCTGGATGATGCTCAGGAAATTCTGCAAGCGCGTTTCCCAATGCCTCGTTACATTAACACGGAGCATGGAGGCAGTCAGGTGAGTGAGTGAAGCCTAGCCGTTAGGTTCAGCTGGTTTTATGTTACATTTGTATAGCTACAAATCTCAACAGTATGGTTAATATTTTATGTGGTGACATAAATTAGCATACAGGTAAACTTCCAAATATGACTTCTTTAAAATATGTTGACATTGTGGATGGAGATGGAATGGATCATGCTTAGTGAAATAAGCCAGAAAGAAAGAAAACTACTGATGGCTTCACTCATAGCAGGAGTATGAGGGAAGAAAATAATAATAGCAATGAACAACTATATACCAGAGACATTTTACAGGGGTGGAGTGGGGAATGGGATCAAAAATGGAGGGGACTGCACTGGACTATGGTGATGGCACATGGGTGATATAGTGATTGGAAGCCCATGGGGATTGCAACTGAGATGGAAAAAAGGCACAAAATGATGTAAAAATAAACTATTATATTATTTAAAAAAATAAAATACACACACACACAATCTTGACGTTGAAGTTGAATATTACCAAATAAAAGACCTGTTACATATTTCAGGAACCCTGGTTAAAGAAGATGAAACTGATTTTTGTACAGTAAAATATTTCTATTTTAACAAAAGAAATGTGGTAGAAACCTTTTTTCCTATTATGCTAACATTAATGCCACTTTTAATCTTATTTATTTTTTTAAGGCTCGTTTCCTCTTGTCTAAAGTGAACCCATCTCAGACTCACAATAACCTGTATGCTTGGGGACAGGTAAGCAATTGTCAGGAATTTGGGGGAAGACTGGGTTACTCTTTTCTAAACACTTGTTTTTACATCCTACAAAGTCCTACAAACTAGATCTGTTTTGACCCAGAGGCAGAATAACTTGGGTAATTTGCTGTTCGTGGGTCCACTTCTATTCTACTCTTACCTGTGTTTCTATACCTCTACCAATTCCACGCAGTCTTGATTACTGTAGCACATAGTAAGTCAGGTAGATTTTTTTGCCATTTTATTCTTCTTTTTAAATTTTTTTTTTTTTTTTTTTTGCTTTTCCAAATGAATTTTAGAAATACTAAGAGTGAATTGGCCCTTGATGTTTTTGCTATGTAAGATGTCCTTAAGCAATAACCCTTGGGGGAAAAAGACGTTTATTATTTATAAGACCTGGGGACCACAGTGAGGTCCATCACGAGGGCAGGGAGAGGAACATGGACCTGGGTTTCTGCTCTAATTGGGACTGAGAGGTGGGAGTGTTTAGGATTTCATGAGATTATCTTACCTGGCAGAGTAATGGGGAAGATGAGAGCAGGACGTGTGGGTCTCCAGGACTGCAGGCCTGGTGGGGAAGCAGATGTGGATGAATCATCAGAACTCGGGAGAGGACGGAAATCAAAGGGTATATTTTCAGAACTCTCTCTAGCTGCAGAGATGTCCTGATTGCTGTGGATCATGGAAGGGTCTTGTGAGGAAATGTGTCAGTTAAAATAAGTTTTTAGTTACTAAGGTAGAGGATAGGGATAGCTCATAGCAGAGGAGACAGCACTTGAATGTTCTGAGGCAAAAAGGTCTTAACTCATGAATTCAACCAGTTTTTAAGACACCTGCCAACACCTTTATAACTGAATTTCAGGAAACTGGAGCGCCCATCCTAACTGATGATGTCAGCCTGCAAGTCTTTATGGATCATTTGAAGAAGCTTGCTGTCTCCAGTGCCAGTTAAACTGAGGACATGAACTGGAGAAGAAAACACTGTCGGATTGTGCTCAGACTTGCTTATTAAGGCTTAATAACATTCCTTTCACTTTTTCTGGTGGGTTTTAATAATAAAATACTGTATGTAAGTCTTTAGATTATAATTTATTTGTATCCCTTATCTTTACCCATTTCTTGAACCATAAAATTTAAGGTCACAAATGTTTTGGTACTTGTAGATGTTTACATGCTTTTTGTATACTAACTTCAGTCTATATAAAATCAGAGGTGATGTATTTTGGCAACATACTTAAATGAAATCATAATGACCTGAAAGGAAATAAACCTGAATGAAGAAAGCACTGGCTAAAGTAATGTTAATACAAATGTGATTCATGCGTTTTATTTGTGAGTGTATGTGTTTTAAGCAACTCCTCCAAGAGCAACTTCTTACTGTTCATTTTCTTCCTAATATTAACAAAGGGAAAAGTATTAAATATGTGAAGTTGTGTTGAGAGAGAATCTCATTTTCCTAACTGCTAATGTTCAACATTCATTGAATTAAGCTAGCTATAAAAGAGTGACTGAAAGGTATAGTGACTCTAACAGAGTGATAATAGGTTTCACTTGGATATCAAGGAAATTAACTGGACTGCTTCTATTTTTTTAATCAAATGAATATATGCCCGGTAAGAAACTTACCTTAAAGGTTTTATAATAAATAATTGTTTTCTCTCCTTCCTAAGCCTACACATACTCTTCCAAGTAATGGCTTTCAGGTTTTCCTTGTTATGTTAATCTTAGCAGGTATAGTTTCACTTCCATTTTCATAGATATTAAGATTGGCCTATAGTCATAGCTTTGTCTTTTGTCTCTAAATTGGTTATCAAAGGTGAAAACTTTTGTGATAAAGAATACTTGTTGTGATAGTGTAAATACTGTTCATACCCAAGGCAGGTAATATTACATATTTCTTTAGTGGTTGATGTTCCATGCCCTGTGTCATTTGGCAAACAGTCCAGTGACAAAACTAGAATCACCTTTCTTAAATTTCATCATCCCACAGGTTGATTTGCTTCTTACTTGAATTATGCCATATTTGCCTTTTTCCCCCAAGAATTTTTAATATTTTTCTTTTTGATAAAACAGTTCTCTTAAGAAAATCCAGCTTCTACAACTACAGTATATCCTTTATAGCCCCTTTTAATATATACCAATTACTATGCAACTTATTATACTTGTACCCTTGGGTCCATCATAGGCATTTCTTTATGCTATCAGTCATTTTGGTATCTTCTTAAAAAAATTAAATGGGACATAATTCACTGGTATTTGTAGTTAAAAACTTTACTGAGTATAAAAAGCTAGTCCCAAGATATTTTTTCTCAAGTTTGGAGCCATTATTTTCCCTCATTCAAACAAGTAATTTTTTTCAGTATTTGTTCTGTACAAAGTGACCATTAGTGAAAAGAAAAAGGACTGACACCGTGAGTCTGTTCACCAGGAAAGTCCCTGTCTTTATTTTTCACATCAAGCTTATATACATGAAAAAGAGGGTTACTGTAACAAAAAGGGCTACTGTGGCTTACAAAAGAACCTTTAAGCTGGGGTTTTTGGGTCTGTGCCCATGTACGGGAGTGGAGACAGCCAGACCCTAGTCAAGGTCCCAAGCTTCCTTATCAGCCTGAGGCCCAGAATTGCTAACTAAACTAAACTGCTAAGCCAAACTGCTTTCCTTCAATTAGCCTTTGAGGAATTAGCCAGTAAAAGAAATTCTTGCCTACTTAAGACAGTTATATTTAATTAGGCAAGCTCAACATTTAATTATAAATGTTTTATGATTTACCAGAGATAATAAGCATTATGTAGACATGTAAAATGGGATTTCCTATTAATTGGATGTTGGGCCATATGAATTCACTCTGATGCTGTTTTTGCCTCTGCTCAAATTACTGGGATTTCTATCTTAAAGTGTTCAACAGTTATGTTTTATTTTTTTAAATATTTGTTTATACATAAAGAACTGGTACAGGCCAGAGTTGCAGGGGGTGAGAGGATTCGGAGACGCAGTGGGGAGCAGAACAGGCAGATTGACAAAGTACATTGCTGAGGGGAGCAGTGGGTAGGTCAGGAGACATGCCATGCCATGTGAGTCACCTCCCTGGCCAGGTATCGAACTCATGCTGTAGTGGCTGCGATAGCTGTGCTTTAACCTGTTGGGCCACCAGGGAAGATCCTCAACAGTTATATTTTAAGTGCCAAGGGCATTATATTCTGTAACTTTTATAAAAATAAGTTCCTAACTTTTAAATATAATTTTGTAATTAAATCTTATTCATATCGACAAGTACATTAACTTATAGACATATTCCCTGGGCCATTCTGTTTCAAATTAACAGAAAAGCAAATGCGATAGACCCTGCTCACTTAGGTGCTGGAGGGGCACCACAGGGTGACCTAATAAAGATGAAGAGATGATGTAGCTGGGGAAGGAGGGACAGGACAGCTGAGTCTTGACACACCAGAATTAGAGGAAGAAAGGAATTCACATGTACAAACACCACTTAAAGCCTGTGTAAAGCAGTCATTACAATTTTGCAAGTGAGACCTCTGATCAGGGAAACTGCCTTTCGAAGTTCATTACATCTTGTGCCAGGTCGTAGGCATGCAGAGCAGCACAGCAGCCGCCCAGCCTTAGGTCCGCCGAGGTGCCGGAGCCGGCGCCGGGACTACATGCCCCAGCATGCCTCGGGGGTAGCGCGGCGGCGCGGCGGCTGTGACGCGCCGACTGAGCGCCCACCCGCCCCGCTTCCACGGTAGATCCAGGCTTGCCCGGGGCGGTACCATGCGACCCGAGCAGGCCACGGCCTGGTACCGGCGGATGTCCGTCCTCTATGCGATGGGTGCCTGGACCATGTTGGGCTCTTTGTTTTTATTCGGCCGGAAGAAACCCTTGCTACCAGGTAGGGCTCGCCCATAGGACTACGCGCTGCTCTCAGGGCGACCGACCCGCGGAGTCAAGAGCGGCGTCCTAAGCTGGGACTCGAGCCGCAGGTTTTCCTGCAGAACGAGGTGGAACCGTTCCGCAGATCCATTTGTTGTAATGGATTCTTCCAGGAACTCCGTTTAATCTTCTTGATTAAATCTTAGGTGGTTATTGAGACTGTTCCCCATATTCAGAATTTAAAGTATCTGTGTAAAGATTCATATTATATTTCAGAGACCCTGGACGGTGATTTGAAGAGCTGCTGCTCCTTAATATGTCCCTCGTGGTGTCACCGGACAAGGAGCGAGGAGGGGAGTTGGGTTAGGGTGTTCCCGAGTTTGATCCCACCCTCCAGCAAACCGAGAGCGAACCGGACACTACCCTCGGCTCCACCCGCTGAAAATCAGAGGGATGCACTGGGTACCCTGCACCCAAGCCCAAGAACGGGCTGGTCCAGATTGAAACGGTGGTTTCACAGACAGTCAAGGAGCCAGCGCTTGTTGATTATAAAAAGAGTAAAAGAGAACCCAGCAGAGACCTCTTTGGGCATGAAAGAGACCCTCTGTGTTGCTAGGGCTTGGGGTCTTGTATAGGTTTTAGGGTTGGAGATTTAGAACAAAGGAAATTTGCATTGGCTGAGAAAGCGAGCGGAATGGGCAGATGTCCAATTATTGTTGCGATTTGTGGGCACCATTCCGCTGCATCTCAGTGGTCTTGCTGAACATCTCATGGAGACTTTGTGCCCACAGCTTCAGATTGAGCTGGACTAGCTTCTTCTGAGTCTTCTTCTGTAACTCAGAAACTGTAACTCCCATTAACAGTAAACTTGATAAACTGTGGAACCATAACTTAGCAATGTATGGGCTGCAGAAAACTTAGTTAAAAAAACAAACTTAAAAACTTAAAACTTAGTTAAAAAAACAAGATGGGCCAAAGAAATGTATAGCACTGGGTATCTGAGCCTAGAGTCATTAGGTTTGTGTAACCTCTTGTTTACCAGCCCGTGGCAACAGCACAGTTTTTTCTTGAGTCTTGTCCTTGTTTGGGTTCCCTTCCTGCCTCAATCACATTTGAGGAGCAAACAAATTTTAGGGCTTCTACCTGCCAATAAATATTAAACTCTTACAGGGCAGAAAAGGAAATCCTTCCACCTTCAAACATATGCTAGAAATCTGTTAGAGACATAAATTAATTTAGAGGTTCTAGGGCAGAAGAGGGGAGATGAGAATTGACTAATAAAGAGTATAGGGTTTCTTTCTGTGGGTGAAAATATCCTAAAATTGTGGTGCTGGTCGCACAGAGTTGAATATACTGAAAACCACTGAATTGTAGTTTTTAAATGAGATAATTGTATAATGTGTTAAATTTATCTTAGTAAATCTGTTATGTAAAAACTGAAGATTATTTGTGGCGATGAAGACTATGGGCGGCCTGAAAGTACACATATTTACCATTGAGCCTTTAAAAACATTTTAGTGTCCATAGTGTTCATGTTTTATTTGGTATTTATTTAGCTTTTTCAGATGTCATGAATCTGATGGTGATGGGTATAGTTCTTACAGTCATTTAATTTACTTAATAATTTTAATGATTGTTTTTTAAGTTAAAAATTAATAATTCAGGTGTTTAATTTTTTCTTTCAAGATGGTGAAGGAGAGGAAAGGACTGTCTCAACAAAAGAAATAACTGAGCACCCAAAAGGGTTTTATGTAGAAACGATTGTCACATATAGAGAAGATTTTGTTCCAATTACTGACAGGATCCTCAACTATTTGAAATCATGGACTGGTGGCCCTGGATCAAAATCATGACTGACTGCTGAGTTCACAAAATCAGGACTTCACTTCAGCATATAAATTTGATAGATGCCTTGATTTCTGCTTTATGTTTGTGAAAAAGTGTAAACATCTAATTAGTAGTTCTGTGAAATATAACTATTAATAAATGGAATAAATATTTCCTTGTGGGAAAAGCAACTTGCATATTCAAATTATGTTTTCTATAACTTAACCTGAATGGGTGAAGGGACATTTCACACTGCACTTCCACAATCTTGGTTTGCTGAAACTAGGTCATATATAACATTTTCTTTGGTCTAGCATATGTTATTGTGATTACACTAAATAATACTTTGGGAAGGACATTGGACAACTTCCAAAATTGGAAAGGGGATCAAGTAAACCTGGTTAGAGATGGTTCAGCCAGGACAGAACCTTAAGTTTACTGCTAGACAGGTGCTGAGAATAGGCAGAGGGAACAGTATAAAACTGGGCAGGCTCCTGCCAGGACCCAGCCTCTGATGCTTCTGACAGCAGGGACACACACTTCCTTCCAGCCCCCAACACATGCTACCAGAATGACTTACCACAGCCACCTGGTTCCCATTATTCCCTCTGAATCTCAGTTTCATGCAGGGACAACTGATGCTGTCTTGGTCACAGTCTTGGAGCCTAACTGAAAAGAGCCTGGAAAATGAGTTTTCTAGCTTCTTCGTCCTTCTCTCTGTGTATGGACTTTTAATGTGAGAACTTCGTAAATATGTGAGAGATAGTCACATATCCAGGCAGTTAGCTAGACTTTCATTTGGAAATGAAAATACCAGAATTGGAAGGTTAGTTTCTTCAGGAAGTTTCTTCTAGTCTCTCCCTGGAGGGTAGGTGCCTGGCTGTAGGAATTTTGGGTGATGTTTGGGTGTTTGTGAGTTCTCACTCAGAATAAAAGTTTCTTGTGGTCTAGTGTCATTCTCTTGATTGAACGGATGGAGATCTTCAAGTAGAAACCTCTAGAGATATCTGCAAAGTTCAGGGAGGTTATAGGAGTATGAGTGGGCATCTGAGGATGTTGGGGGGTAGATGTCAAGTGCTTCTTACACATACTCAAAAATACCTTATATCAGCATCCCCACCACCATAACTTATCTGCCTGTCACTTCCAGCTACTGAGTCCTTTCATATTTCTGTGAGACTAAGTAAATGACTTCTCCCTAAATGCCCCTCGCAGGCAAAGGTTCTTTTCTTAGCCAGACTTTAGTCAGGCTCCTGAACCTTCTCTTGGCACATCTGTACACTTCCTTGAAAAGTCCAGTTTTATCAAGAACTCTTAGTTTAATCAAAATGCCTTCCCTCTATCTGATCACCCTCAATATCTGATCAGGTTCCTGACACTCCATTGTTCTGCAGGTAATGTCCATATACCCTGGCCTATCTATAATTCTAATATATATATATATATAGATAGATAGATATAGATACACACACGTATATGTATATATAGTATATATAGAATATATAGTGATATATGTATAATATATAGTCATGCTGAGCAGAGAGCAATATCTGTACAATTACTAATAGATAATGTAAATCTATGATACTCTGTCAACCAAAAATTTGAGTTCACACATTTATTTAGTCAGCAGTATTAACTGAACCCCAGGCACCGTGTAAAAGCATGGGAGACACAAAACACAATAGGCAATAGAGTAATTGAAAGTTGTCAGAAGATTGTGCGGGTAAGATGAAAGGCTAGTGATGGAGAATGACAGGGAACAGGGACACGTAACTGTTCTCTGAGGTCCACTTTAGGGGAATCTGTGATTTCCAACTTTAAAAAGTAATGTAAAGACTTGCCTTATCATACTTACTCTCTCAGTTGTGTAAAGTTGAGTTTTCCAGAGTCTCCATGGTATATTGCTCCATGACCCCATCACTTTAATGTTATTACGATGGATTTACTATTTTCATTTTTAGATGTATTAGTAAATTAATGTTTAACAATTTCCCTTAGTTGTAATGTCTCATAGTGCATATATCTTTATATACACATCCCATACAAACAAAAACTATTTAGGATATTCAATGGTTTTAAGTATGTAAAGGCATCTTCGGATAAAAATGTTTGAGGTATGATGATTTAATGAAAATATTTAAAATGTTACACTTATCCCGATGATAAACTTTCTCCTTTTATTTTTTTGACCTGGAAACAAGCAGTTTCAAGCATCACACTTAGTTTTCCTGTCTCTTTAAAAAAAAAACAAAAAACCCTTTAATCTGGAGTAGTTCCCAGATTTCATTTTTAAGAATTGACTGTTTTGTAGAGTGTTTCTTAATTGAATCTTGACATTTCTTCAAGATTGTGTCCAGGTTATACATTTTGGGCAGAAATACCACAAAAATGTGCCTGCTCAGTGCAGTATCAGGGTGTGTACTATATTTGCTTGTCTTTTTGCTGTGATACTCACCTTGATCACTTCATTAAGGTAAGTTAGTATTCCGTATGTAACATTCAAGCAATCTAGTCTGTAGTCATTTCTGGCCAAATGACTGTTTCTTGTTCTCTATTTGAATGTTTTTTCTTGTAGGGGAACAAAAGTTGTTTTCTTGTGCTGTTAGATAGTCTCCAGTTGGATTTGAAAATTAAACTGTCACAGAAAAACATGCACATTTATTGAATATATTTTATATGGAAAGGGACCCTTTGTAAAGTAGAGAAGACCCAAAGAAATAGATCTATGTTCTTTGTTTCTGGGTTTGATGAAGGGTGGGCAGTCCTAGAACAAAGTGATGGGTTTAGTAGTAGGAGGTAAGTGTAGAAAACTGGGGGTACTTAGCAAGGCCTTTGTTAGGATTCTTCTTGGAGTCCCTTTATTTACCCAAATAACTATTTCATTACCTTTGGGGATGGTTAGGATCTTCACATGGAAGTTATCTTAAATTTCTTCAGCTTACAAAGTATGCCAAGATGCTATATTTTGGAGTAGCATGTCTTCAACTACGCATGCAATTAGAGGACTTTGAAAAGACACCTGGCGAAGGAATTCTTTTTATTAGCGATATTAATTTTTCAGGATAAAATTTGTACAATCCCATGAAGTTTTTACAGCACTTTTACTTTGTCTATTTCAAGTAAATCTGTTAACTGCTGGAGGGGCGAGGGGGGAAAGCTTAAATATTTGTATTTGTAATAGAGGAGGCATTAGAATTGCAGCCACATATATTGGTACTACCACAACACGGCTAAGCTAAGTTAGAAATTAAGTGGAGATTTTACGCAGCAGGTCCTATTCTGTCTAGTTTCTGAGAAGTCGAAGGTAAAAGAAAAAGAAATTGGGAGGCTCTGGGGAAAGCGAAGTGGAAAAAGGTAGGGGAATCACCTTTTTCACCTTAATCCTGGCACTAGGACTAAGGACAGAGTTTTGGGATTTGGGTGAGGGGGAACGTGAGGAAAAATCCTTTCGCAACTGCGGTAGGGGTGAAGAGTGGGCATCGGGTTGGAGGAGCTAAGGGTTAAGGCGTGGCCTAGAGGTGTTGGACCAAGTCTGGGGGCGGGGCCTGTCAAATAGATGGGTGGAACGGAGATAGGACCGTAGGTGGGCGGTACTGACGTGGGCGGGAACAACCTGTACATGGGCGTGGTCTACGTGGGCAGGCCATTGCTAACTGGGTTGGATCCTTGGGCCCCGCGCACTTCTTGGAATCATCCCTAGAGGGCGCCAGCCGCAGAGCCGTCGGTGGAGTCGCCGGAAGGAGCTCAGCGCCGTCCGATTCGCCCCAGCTGCCGCCATGAAGGCCGTGGTGCAGCGCGTCACCCGGGCCAGCGTCACAGGTCAGTCGGGCGGGGCCGGGCCCGGGAGGAGCCGCCCCTGGCCCCACGCGATTCTTTTCAGGCGGCCCCCGCTGGGGCAGGTGCTGCGTGTGGTCTCTGTGGCCACCGTCGCCCTGCGCGAGCGAGGTTTTGGTAACCCCAGTCTCTCGGCCGGTTTTGGGGCGCCGCTGCGGCCAGAGAGCGCAGTCCATGTGCTTGGAGGACCCTTTCAAGTATCTTGGCTTAGGATCTCGGGTTTGGGTTCATGATCAGCTGTCATAATCATCATTATCATCATTTTTATTGTTCAAAGCAGAGGGTAGCGGAACCTGGGATGGTTCTATGGCCTATTTTTGAATGAAATGTTGCACAAACAACGTGTAAGGAGCATTTCCCGAGGGGGACCTCTCCCTTTATGATTTTGTATTTTAAAATTTCCGTACTGCCCAATATTTACATACCCTGATTTTTATGGAGCTTGACGCCTATTTAAATGCACAGGTATGAAGAGTTGATTTGGATGAGTTCTGACAGTTGGGAATACCACGTGACCGGCGCTGACTGCATTTCTAACAGAACGTTTTTTCCCCTCTTCCTTATCCCAGAAGCGTCAGAATCAGAAGAATTCAGTATGAAGCATCTGTTTTCCCTTTGTTTCTTTCTTCTTTTTTTAAACCAAATACTTGTGCACCAAGCCCAAGTCATCAATCCAGTTTAATTTGAACATCACTTGTCCAAATGATTAATGTTACAAAAACTCAAACCAAGATAACAAAGATTAAGTGAACATTTGAATGACAAATACTAGATTGTCTTCTAGTCTTTTTTTTGGGGGGGGGGTAGATACATAAAATTGTTTCAGTTCAAATAGTTCCAACTAACCTGTTCTTCAATTTTTCTCAACCAGTCTACATCAAATTTGGGTTCCTTTGACCATGGAAGTATAATTCTAAAACCAAGAAAATCTCTTAAACAACTAAACTTAGCAAATCTAATTATTTAGGGCTGAGAGCCTACTTTTCAACCCTGCAATAATGACCTCTAAACTGTTTTGGTAGCTCATTTTGGAAATGGTACTTCTGTGTTAGGGAATAAAATAGCACTGGGATTTGTGGAATTTAAAAAACAAAGGTTTTTTTTTTAGCATTTCAGTTAATATTTAAGTTCACTGAAACTGGGAAAACTAATGGATGAAAAACAATTGTTTGAGAATCTTTCAAAATGCCCAAGGTGGTCATTACCAACAAGTAAACTTCAGAGAATTTTTGATCTGCCCTCTCTTAAGCTCTGTACTGCTGATCTGGACTATTGAAAATGTGAATTCTGTCAGATTTGCTGAGTAGTTTGAGTGAGTTTAGGTTAGTACTAATATTAGATGCTTTTAATGAGAACAAACCAACTTACACTTTAAAAAAGTTAATAGTGGGAAAATGTTAAAAATTTGTGCTATTACAATGGATTTTCAGTGCTTTGAATTAGTACCTTTAGAATGTGTCTTGCTTCACTAATATTGCTTCTACTCAAATGGTATTTTATTTCAGGGATTCTAATATGTCCTTTCCTATTTTCTGGTTGGGACAGAGAAGAATATTAACAGTCACATTTTATTATGGGGCATTTTCACTTTATGAAATTGATCAGACACATTTCGATGCCTTAGCATGCTTATTGTGATAATCTAATTTGAAAAGCTTTATTATGGAACATTTCAAGCATTTACTTGATTACACAGAAGGAATAGTACAGTAACTGCCATGTACCATCACTCAGCTTCAGCAGCTAAAATCTGAATCGAATCAGAATGGCAGGAGAAGGATCTAAGATGATTAGTTTTGAATGTGTTAATTTGGGAGGTTGAATTCTTGAAGAAGGGATGTGAGGAGCGTTGCCACTCATACATGGAGAAATGGACTCAGTAGTTGCACTCAGTAGGATGCAACTAGTAAAAAGTGTTTAGGAAGAACTTATAACATAGAAAAATGCTCATGCAATGTTAACGAAAAAGATGAACACATTGCTTGAAAACAAATGTGAAGTAAAACCTGTAAAAAGGGAAAATGTCCAAAGGAAATCATTAATTGTTAAAATGCTTGACCTGGGTATTTTTCCCTCCTTATTATAGTTCCCCAATTTTCTGTAATGTATATGCATTACTTTAATGATGGATATAGCTCAATTTTTATTCAAGCTTTAAAAACATACTTTGGGGGAAATTAGGAAAAATGATATTATAAGAAAATTGTATTGATTTATTGAAAGGCCAAATTTCGCCAAAGGCTTTCTCTACAGCAGAGCATTCAAGTAACCCTGCTTATTGCTTGTGTTAGGATGTATTTTACTTCCTTCAGCTTTTGAGTCAGCTGCTTAAAGGACAGTAAGTCATTCATTGTCCTTTGTTAGGAAAGTAGAACAGAAGAAAATGTTCAAGCAGTTGTTTCCTTAAGCATAAAAATAAGAGAAATTCAGCTTTATTGATATTTGGGAAATGAGTAGGTGCTAGTACTCTTCTGGAATCTGAACACAGTGCCTTAGACCACTCAGCCATTCTAACTTGCTTCCTCTGGGATCTGGATATCAAGTAGTTTGTTGTTTTGACACCTAAAAGAAGAGGTGTCTTACTAGTTCCTTAGCTTATAGGTTGCTACAACTTGAGATAGTGTATGTTGCCTTATCAGGTATGTTTATGAATGTTGTTATCCGACAGAAGCAAGCAAGAGAATGACATACTAGATCCTCATCCTGCTTGGAACACTACATGATAAAGTAACAAAACCTCACTAATCTAATGAGGTTTGGCAAAATGTTGGCCCCAAATCGTAAATTATAGATTTAAATCACCATCATAATGATGGTTCTTAGCCTAAGTATACATCAGCATTAAGATACTGTCTAGTGGTAGTAGAACATATTTCACTATAATACATACACAAATGTTTGAAATGGGATATATGTTTAGATATTTCTTTTTAATGGGTGAGTACAGGTTTCAAAAAGATTTGAAGTTCATTGGGTTAGACTGAAACTTTAGTACAAAACTAGGAAGTGGAAGAAAGTTTGCTGACTTGAAGCTCAGTGAATAAATGTATAAACAGTGGTTTTATGTATACTATATTTATCTTCTCTGTACTAAGTAGAAAAATGATTTCTTTGCTTTTATGACATAAATACTTTCTATTTTGTGCTATCTGTATACTGTGTCAACCACATTTTTCCAAGAAAAGCAGACATCTCCTTCCTGAGAATTATTATAGCTGACCTGGATTCTCAGGGGAGGAAAACTGTTCTGTTTTACAGATGGGCATATTCCATCACAGAAAGTTTCAGAGTTACGCAAGCTAGCACAGATGAAAATGTGCCTGAAAATCTTGCTTTCTGGTAGTTCATGTCACAAATCATTCATTCCAGACATGAAATCAGAATGAACATGAACTATGATTGGCTTACTGTATTTATGTAATTCCCTTCAAGTTTGAATACTTACCAACTTTGCCAGAGAAGTTGTGGTGTTATTTAAACATTCCTGTGGTTTATTGAAAGTGCTTCATGGTATCTTTTTCCCTTTTTAGTTGGAGGAGAGCAGATAAGTGCTATTGGACAGGGCCTCTGTGTGTTACTTGGTATTTCTCTGGAAGATACACAGAAGGAACTGGAACACATGTAAGTCACATTTTTCTACGTCACTGCTGTTTGAATCAGATATGTGATGGTTTTATATCCATCCACCTACCCACCCACCCACCCACCCATCCTGGGGTCTTCCATAGTTTTGGCCTGTATTTGTGTCCCAGTCAATGTAATATGGTTATCTCCATGCTTCACTTGTGAAAGCTGAGGAAGAGATTTTGTCAAACATCAGCAGCAGGTGGGAGCCTGACTTAAGCTCCCATCCCTATTTGCTACTACAGCCATAAGTCATCTTCTTAATGTAAAACTGGACCTCTTGTGAATTATTCCATTTTTTACTTTGAGCAATATGACCTAGGCTCAATTTATGTATTTTAAAAATGCCCTGTAGCTCATTGTGCATAGAGATGCGATGCTCAGAGAGGTAAAATTATTTGTCAAAGGTCACACATTTATATATCTAGTTAAATCCTGACTCTGAATTAGAATCTAGGCTAGACCACCTGACTCATTTTACTAAGGTGGGGGGGATTTGTCATTGCTGTTGCCTCACTGAGTCTCCTAGTATAGGCAGAAGTTGCCTTCTTATACTCACCTACCCCGTAGTATCACTTGGCACATTTATTTCAGGTGCTTGGATCTGTTTTTTATGCCTTTTGGTGCCTAGTGCCTGGGTATAACCCCACCAAATTGTCCCTTTTGTATTAGCTTGAAAATCAAATTTGGAACCTAATTCCTGCTAAAGTGTTGATGACTGATAGGACAATTCAGTACCTCATCAAGGATGTTGGTGTTTTAATTATTGGATACTCATGTCAAGGGAGTGGTCTAGTGGTTAAAAACTGGATTCTGGGTCTGAATCTCTTTAGGGCTTGACATACTAGAAAGAATTTGGTGGTTAAGAGTGACTCAGCGTTAGACAGACTCTGGTTGTGGAGATGGTTTAATGAACAGTACCCACAACAGAAGGTACCCATATAAGAAATCAGTGAATTTGTATGCATAATGTCTTCAACATCATAAAAAAATGTGCTTTCAAATGGGTTTTAATGTTCATGGAGGTAGTTCTTTGAAATGCTTCTCTAACTGCTATCTGGTTCTCTTCCTTGCCAAGGCTGTATCCACCTGTCATCCTTTGTCATCCACATGTAGAGGGAAATCCCCTTCGGGGCTTAAGGAGTATGTGACATAGTTGTCAGGCCATATTGTCATTGTGTCTTTCTCAGACCTTTTTGTGTGTTTGCAGTGAGCATGAGTTTTCTCCAGGATATTTGCTAAATTGTTCATTTTGAATACCTCCAAGAATGGGAATAAAATGAGTCTCATTTATTCCAGGATAAAATTGAATTATTCCATAAAAAGTTAGAATTTGGCCCGTATCCATCAACTTAAATCTACCTTCAATGTGGAGCTCTGTTCAGAGCCCCCAAAACATGTAATAACTTTCATTGCTTAAGGTTGAAAATAAGTCCAATAATTGAAGGACTGTCAAAAAAAAGGGGAACCCCCAAATAATGCCAGTCCACATTATGCATGAGGAAACTGCGGTGTTCAGTTGGTTAGTAAATTGCCCTGTAAATAATAGTCAGTATCATTTCCTTATTTGACGGGATGCTGGTGTGCTGGTGTATGTGGTGGGCTGAGTTTCTCCAGGTAGCTCTCACTGCTACCTTTCACTTTAGGGTACGGAAGATTTTAAATCTGCGAGTGTTTGAAGATGAGAGTGGGAAACACTGGTCCAAGAGTGTAATGGACAAACAGTATGAGGTGCTGTGCGTCAGCCAGTTCACCCTGCAGTGCATCCTGAAGGGGAACAAGCCCGACTTCCACTTGGCAATGCCCACGGAGCAGGCAGAGAGCTTCTACAACAGCTTCCTGGAGCAGATGCGCAAGACTTACAGGCCAGAGCTCATCAAAGGTAGGCAGACTGAACCTGCCCTGGAGAGGAGTCTCTAGGGAATGGGGAGCAGTTACAGCATCTCTTTTTCTAAAAAGGTGGTTGTTTTTGCTAACTACTTAAGAGGGTACAGTGGCTACTGCTGCTGTAATACATGTCCTTTGAACACCCCGGATACTATTTATTCTTCATCCTGATGTTCACATTTGAAAATGTTTAGCAAGCCGGAAGTGTTTTGAGGTAATGGTGTTTTTTTGTTTGTTTTTTTGGTAGCTTACCTTATCTGGCAGAGAAGTACAATCTGAGCCACAAATATGATCCACCTGTTAATTTCATGTAGGATATTAAAGTAAAAAGAAACAAGTGAAATGAATTTGAAAAGTATATTTTATTTTACCCAATATGCCTAATTCTGTTTTTTCCATGTAATCAACAAAAAATTATTGAGATAATTTACATTCCTTTTTATTTATGTTTAATATAATTCATTAGTTTATACATATTTTACATCACTGTTCATTTTTGGGTCATGTTTGCTTTCTCCTCTCAGGTGTAGTCCCTATAGGACTCCCACCACCAAGTCCCCAGTGACCATTAGTGCAGTCCCTTGTGCTCTACCTTCCTGTTTTGATCCCTCTGCTGCTGCGGAATAGCTCTGATTTATAGTTGCCTGTTATTTTGTTGTTGTTATTTTTTTCTCCTGAGCCCTTTTCCCCCTTTGTTAAATACCAAAGTTTTCTAAGCATCTCAGTTGTCCCACATTCAGATATCTTGTAGCGGTGTGTGCTTAGTGATATCAGGTATGTAGATTTGTTACTGAACGCCAGTCTCAGTTTCCCTCAGCCAATAAAAGGAAACAGAGTTTGAGGAAAAGGAAAGTGGTTTTATTTGTCGACAAATGAGGAGGGCAGCAGACTCATGTCCTAAAGACCACCGTCCTGCTCTTTAGCAAGTTACAGGGCTATTTTTATACAGTGTTCAATAAAGAAAAGGGGAGGTGGGCAAGCGTTCCCCAAAGGGGAGGGAGTAAAAGTTAGTGCTGGGATGGAGACCAGTGGGCCCCAGCCTTTATTTACACAAAGACAAACAAAAATGGGGAATCCGCAAGAGTAATGGGGAGGGGGCAGGGGACAGGGCAGGGAGGAAGAGTCGTCGGTGCTGGCCAGCTTTCTCACTATTTGCTTTTGTTTGGGATTTCCTTTCCTTGACCCTAAACCTGTCAAAAGAAGAGAATCTGCAAGGAAAGGAGAGAAAAAAAGTAAACCCACAGACAATTAAGAAGTCTGGGAAAACCAACTTCATCATAAATTTGTCAAAGGAGGCAAATCTGCAAATGCTTATCTGAGAGCCCGTTTACTGTGTCAGGTTTAGGTCTTTGCTTACTTGCTTACTGTCAGGACTGCCAACCTGGTTTGACTGATTAAAGGTTAGCCTAGAAAATGTCTCAGAATGTTGGTCCTGACTTGTGGCAGATTGTATATCTGAAATTCTGAATCTTTTAAAGAGGGACATTCATTTCTAATCTGTTTTCAAGTTTCTCAGGTTAAGTTGCATTCAGTACTATTGTGTTGTGCTTTTTACTTAAAAGCAATTAGCAAAGAATATTTAGCCTTCTTTGGAAATGTGTCTCAGGGTGGGACCTTTCTAAGGAGGAGACATTCAATAGCTACCTATAGTTTCTTTTGGTGCTGCCTTACCCTAATGTTGCTTATAGTTAGCTCTAGTGTTTCTGTACTTAACTGCCTTTGGATTTGACAAACTTAGAGCCCATGTTTATTGGACCTATTTTCAACCTTAAGCAAGGAAAGGTATATATGTTTTTGGAGTTCTGGAACAGAGCTCCACATTGAGGATTGTCAACTCATCAGATTTGCACAAATTAGGTGAGCAATAGTTCTTCCTCTCTATGGTATTTCTTTTCATTTTTATTCTCTTTCTTGTGTAAAGTAATCATTTGCATAAGGACAAATGGATTCAACATAATCAGGACACTCCTGCCTTTAATCAAGTGAAATCTCTTTACTTGTGTGTGGGGAGAGCAGAATATATTAATATTTGCCCCTCCTGGAAATATCCAAGTTTAGAATTCAACTTTCAAGTCTGGTCATGAATTTCTCTAGTATTTTTTTCACTCTCTGTCCACTGGGATCCGTCGATATGGCTTTGCTGAAAACATTTTTTCCCAGAATTAGTAATTAAATCAACGCCTCTGGATAATTACTTTTTTTTTTTTTTTTTTTTTTGCTGAGCCAGGGATTAAAGCTGCCCACTTTGTCTTCTCTGCTTGATGTTTGTGGAATATCTTGTTTCTGAGTAATCTCAGATGAATTTTAAAATGCACTGAAGTCTTTTGAAAGATGAGCACAAGGAATATCATAAAAGCATAAGTGAAGACAAAGTTAAGTGGGGGTACTATGATGACTGTTAAGAAGTGCTTGTATGAAAACAATACTTTCATCTAAGTCTTTAAAGTCTTTATATATTGTTGTTACAGGATAGGGAGAGGGACACCCCTGAGCCCCAAATCTGCTTGTTCTGTATAGGTTCTGCCATCTGCTGCATCAAGACAAAACATATAAGAACTTTAATGGTAAGGAACTTAATATAATTAATGTGCAATACAGCAAACAAAAAAATATAGTTTCTAAATGAAACACTCAAAGTTACCCATCCCCCCCATGGGTAAAAGTCTACCCAAAAAGGGTCTTGGCCCAAAGTAAGGTCTGAAAGCCTGCCACAAGTCTAAAGCACCTGCTGGTGTGGACACCTAGAAAAGGGTCAGAAATGGCAGACAAGTCTAGGAGGAGAAGAGCACAGTCAAAATCAATACAAACATGCCATAGTCAACCTCCCCATGGGACTCTCATCCACATATTTCAGCCAGTCCAGGACCAAGAAGAAGCAAGCATAGTATCTTCACAAATCTCTCTGCTCCATGTGCCCCCCTCAGGTCATCTTCTGGCTCTCCATCCAGCTCCCTTCCTCTTCAGTCTCCTCTCCAGCTTCTTCTCAACCTTGCTCAGCTTCACCTTGGTGAGACAGGGAATCTGGAACATTCCCTTTTCCTGGTGAGACAGGGAATCTGGAACATTCCCTTTTCCTGGGGACCACCTTGTTAAATTATTAGGTGCTTTGTGTTCCTAAAAACACCTTTAACTTTTTGAAATAATGTGTATTTTATCCAGGTGATTATATGAAGTGCCTGAAGCAATGTATAATGGATCAGAATTTAAGCTCATTCGAAGATAATATGTCTGATCATTTTAATGAATAACTGATAGGAATTTGTGCAAAGAATTTTAATCAAAATTTATTTAAACTCCTTGGGCTTTCAGATATCAATGGTGTCTTACTTGTTTGTTTGTTTTGCCTTTTTTCTTCGTTAGGTGTTCATGAAATAAAAAATGCAGGTTTTATATGTTTGCTATCTTTTGCTTAATTTTGAGAATTTGGCTTCTAGCTCCAACATGGAAAGCCCACTGTAAGGTGAAGGTTATATTAGAATGCAAACAACTACTAAATATATTTAGGGTTTTCAGGGCACTTTAGCAACTTTAAAACTTAAAGTAGTTCAGGCCCTCCCTGGTGGTGCAGCGGGTTAAAGCACTGCACTAAGAAGCTAAAGCCACTTCCGCATGAGTTCGATCCCCGCCTGCCCCGGAGGTGACCACATGGCGCGGCAGACCTCTCCTGACCCGCCCGCTGTTCCCCCTCAGCAGTGTACTTTGTTGATTTGCCTGTTCTTCCCCCCACTCTGTCTCTGGTGAATCCTCTCACCGTCCACAACTCTGGCCTGTACCCCAGTTCTGTATGAATAAATAAATAAATCTTTAAAAAAATAAAAACTTAAAGTAGTTCAGTTAAATTCGTCTTCTAGTTTTATTGCAATATAATTGATATGCAATGCTGTTAGTCTTAGTTGTACAACATTATGATTTGATATATGTATGGTGAAATGATTGCCACAGTGAGTTCAGTGACTGTCCAGTATAGTTTCAGTTTTTTCCTTGTGATCAGATTGTTTATAATCTTTTCTAGCAACGTTCATCATTCATCGTTAAAATTAACGATAATCACTATTTTCTATATTATATTCCCAGAACTTATGAATTTTATTACTAGATATTTTAATCTTTAGACAACCAATACTCATTTTGCCTAATCTCTCCTCTTTGTCTCTGGTAACTATGAACCTGTTTTATATATATATAAGTAATTTCTTTTAGATTACACATAAGAAAGATCATGAAGTATTTGTCTTTCTCTGACTTATTTTACTTAGCATAATGCTCTCAATGTCCATGCATGGTTTTAAAAGTGATAATTTCCTTTTTTATGACAAGAATTTTGCATTATATTGAAGTGGATAAACACACACACACACACACACACACACGTATAAGCATATTTTCTTTATCTGTTCATCCTTTGATGGACACCTAAACTGCATTCATGTCTTTTCTGTTGGCTTTATTAGATTTAACATTTTTTCACTCCTTTTTCTCTCTAATTACTGAAGCTACTTTGTTTATATTTAAGTTGGTTTTCTTGTTAAAAAGATTGAATGGAGGGAAGATTATTTTCTATTTTTTATATCTTCTTTTGTTCTTTCACCTCTCCAACCTCTTCCCAAGAGTTTTCAGGCACTTCCTCACAAGCCATTGCTCTTCTACTATGACCTAACTGTGGCTCATGTGTTAGACCACAGAGTCTCCTGATCTTGGCTCTAAGCCTGCTTGATGATATAATTCCAAGCTGTTTTCCTAGCTTTTGTGTGGGTTGAAAATCCTGGAAGGCAAGCTATTTATGGGGTTGGTCCTCACACACTTTTATTGTTATTATTATTACTGTAATTATTATTAGTGTAAAGCATTCCACAATACATATACTGAGGGCCAGACTTTGTCCAGGAATACTCTCCAGTCTTTCATCTTATTGATTCCTCACAACAGCCTTATCAAGTGGCGTTAGTATTACCCCCATTATACAAATGGTGAAATTGTGCAAGTTACTTGTAGAAG